CCCTAATCAGTATGTCAAGACCAACAGACTAGCTCCACGACCATAGCTAACCACAGCTCCAGTGCCTCTTGAGAAGCGTCCTCTTGCCTTTGGTCTCGTCGGTGGTATGTGGGGTATCGCTTCCGTTGCTGGTCCTCTTCTTGGAGGTGCCTTCACTGAGCACGCAACCTGGCGTTGGTGTTTCTACATCAACCTCCCTATTGGTGGCCTCGCCATGATCATCGTCTTTTTCTTCGTCCGTGTGAACCGCAACGACTCGGACACTATCAACATGACCTTCATGGATCGCGTTCGCAAGCTCGACCTTGCTGGCGCCGCCATCTTCATCCCTGCCATCATCTGCCTGCTCCTTGCTTTGCAATGGGGCGGCGCCGAATATCCCTGGAACAACTCGCGTATCATCGGCCTCTTCTGTGGCTTTGGAGCTATGATTGCCATCTTCATTGGCATTCAATTCTGGAAAGGCGATGAGGGAACTCTCCCCCCTCGTCTGTTCAAGAACCGAAACACCTTGTCCGCCATCATTTTCGCCATGTTCTTTGGTGCCGGTTTCTTCCCCCTCATCTACTATCTCTGTAAGTCCTAGACCACTCTCTACTCTCCCACCGAACTAACATTATCCAGCTCTTTACTTCCAGGCCATCCAGGGTGTTAGTGCCGTCCAGGCTGGAATCAAGATTCTTCCTCTCCTCCTCGCTACCGTCCTCTGCTCCATTGTCTCGGGAGGCCTCATCACCGCCATTGGATACTACAACTATGTCATCATCCCCTGTATGGTTCTTTACACTGTCGGATGTGGCATGCTCACAACCCTCGACGTTCATTCACCTCTCAGGGAGTGGTTTGGCTACCAAGTAATTGCCGGTCTGGGTATTGGTGCTGGTTTCCAGATCGGTGTCCTTATCATTCAAACTGTTTTGCCTCAGGAATGGGTTCCCGTCGGCACCGCCGTGGTCCAGTTCGGCCAAGCCTTTGGAGGTGCCATCTTCGTGGCTGTGTCCCAAACTGTCTTCCAAAATGGCCTTATTGACACACTCAAGGCTGATAACATTGGCATTGACCCCACCATCTTCATCAATACTGGAGCTTCAGAGATTGAGGAGACTCTCAGAAAGATGGGCCGCCTGGACGCGCTCGACACTGTCCTTGATGCGTACATGAAGGGTCTTCGTGACACCTTTTACATCTCTCTTGCCTGTGCTGCCTGTGCTCTGATTGCTTGCCTGTGCTTCCAATGGAAGTCTGTCAAGAAGGGCCCTGACGGTGAGGACAGAAAGCCCGAGCCTGCTGTGCCTGTCTAAAGGGATTGTGGGGTCGATTCGTAATTTGACGATTGGAATTTTGCATAGATACCCTCGGATGTCTCTCTTCTCTCGGTTGCATTTGGCGCTGGTAGTAATAAGTGTCTAATATCATAGGAGGTTAATAAAAAGTGGTCTTACAGTACGAGGACTCCTCATTGTGTATCATCTGGTGGTCTGTCCCATGAAACCCGTGTTTTCCTAGCTCTTGTCTTTGCTCCAACATCAGCTCCTACGAATTTGAGCACCCAATCTTTGACTTGCTTCGCCTTCTGTAACTGCGGGTGCAGCTGACCGCGCTTGGAGAGCTCACGCGTCGAATAAAGCCCGGATCCATCCCTTCTCCATAACAGGCTAACCTTGGTCATGCCCCTGCGGAGACTCTGACCGTAAACTTTGTCCTTGAACACGTGAAGTGCCACGTTCTGCATGAGAACGACATCCTGACGCCGAAGGGCACTAATCTCAGCAGCTGCATCATTCTCCTCCGCAAGCCAAAAGGTCACAGCGAATCCTGTCTTTGTATCGTCCCCGAGGAGAATCTCCACTAAAGAGAGGCTGCGACCCCAGCGTGTTGTGACGGTTCGTGGCTGTGCGATGGATATGATGCCGGCAATAATGTTGAGGGTGACAGTTTGGGGATTGAGAGCCAGAATCCTCCTAGCCGGCGGTATATCTTCCAAATCAGAGAGATGAGAAGGAACAGTCTCTCTCATATCCAAGTGTCTTGTCGAAGAAGTCGTCATAAAAGACGTCTCTTCAAATGTCGTCTCCTCAAAACTGTCCAGCTGTGATGACGGAATCGAATTGTGCAAAGCTAGGGAATGGTCATAGAACTGCGACAGCACATTCTCCGGATCTTCGCCCTCAAAAGACTGAGACTGTTCCTTAAACGAGATTTCAGCCGTAGTGAAGAATTCGGATTGGTTGGCGAGGTTGATGCTGATATTATGGGTCTGACTGAACCCTGTGTGAAGCGGCTTTCTGTTGAGCGGAAGAGAACGCCATGGAGCAAGATTTGGAGACGATACTGGATCTGTTTCGTGAGGGGCCAGCCCGAGAAACTCAGCGAAGGAGTCGTCGATTTGTGTTATTGTACATGATTGTGTCGTGAGAGATGAAGCCGGTGGTGCGCCAGCGAAAAGGAGTAGTCGGGGTGCCATGGCATTGACCGCCTGCAGCTGAATTGGAATTCTATTTGAAGCTTCTCATGATATAGCCAGGAGAGACTGTGCTGCCCAGGGGTAGCAGTAGGGTGGGTTCTTGATGAGATAAGCAGAGATTCACGATGATGTTTTTGGTGTTGGCGGGTGATGCTAAAGAGAGATCGGCGGCGACCACTTCCCGGCCGCAGGTACCGAGGTATCCCCCCACCCCCACAACTCCGTGCGCCCCACAGACGTTACCGAGGCCAGCTCTTTATTCAACCTCGTTTCGTGTATCTTGACCTTATATAACATCATTATCTGTTCGTATCTTTACTCCAATACAACTGTACCTTACCTACTAGAACGTCTAAGGGTCTACGTCAGCTGAGGTTCAAAAGACTTGCCACAATGTCGTCCTTTCCGTTCACCATTCAAGAGCATACAATTGAAGCATCACATATTCGAGAATACGCCCGCGCTACAGCTCACTCTCAAGATGAGAAGCTGTATCTTCACGTGAAACAATATACACCCAAAGATAACCCGAACCCTCAAAAAGGTGACGTGACTATTATCGGAGGTCATGCCAATGGCTTTCCCAAGGTGCGCTCATCTCGGTGCTCATACAAATGCATTTACTGATCTGTATAGGAACTATACGAACCCCTGTGGGAGGAGTTCTACCACGAATCAAAACGCCGAGGTATCCGAATTCGAAGTATCTGGATAGCAGATACAGCCTGGCAAGGCAAAAGCGGTCTCATAAACCAAGGCGCACTTGGCAATGATCGTAAGGTTCTCCTTCTTTTATACCGTTTGGCAATGCTAACATCTTGTCAGCAAGCTGGCTCGACTATGCCCGTGATATACTTCACATGATAAACACATTCCGCCCTCCACCACCGATAATGGCAATGGGGCACTCCTTTGGTGCAAATGCTCTCACCAACGTTGCCCTTCTTCATCCTCGTGTCTTTACATCACTTGTGCTACTCGACCCCGTCATCTCTCACTTTGCCTCCACGCCTGGCGCTAGAAACGCTGGTCCTGCAGCAGCGAGTATGTATCGTCGTGAAGTCTGGCCATCGCGCGACGAGGCAGTAGCATCTTTCAGCCGCAGCCCTTTCTACAAGTCCTGGGATCCTCGTGTGCTACAGCGATGGATCGACTTTGGTATCAGGAACGTACCCGGTGAACAGAGCGTGACTTTGACCACGACAAAACATCAAGAGATCTTCACCTTCCTACGACCAAGTTGGCAGGCCTACGATGCTGAAGGCAAGGATGTGATCCACCCTGAACATACCCCCGATCTCGATGCCAGCCTCAACCGTCGCTGGTCTACATATCCCGTCTACCGTCCTGAGGGGCCCAATACCGTTGAACGACTTCCCAATGTCCGACCCAGCGTCCTCTACGTCTTCGGTGGAAAGAGTGATGTTTCCCCACCAGAACTCCAGGACGAGAAGATGGCGCTCACAGGAACAGGTGTTGGCGGCAGTGGTGGCCATGCCAAGGGTCGTGTCAAGAAGGTTGTCGGAGAGAAGAATGGCCATTTGGTTCCCATGGAAGATCCACGGTTGTGTGCGAGTGCCGCCGCTGATTGGATCAAGGCTGAGCTCGAGAGGTGGTGGGCAGATGAGCGCCAGTTTGAAGAGTGGGCAAAGAAATCCAAAGAAGAGAAGACGACCGTTTCGGAAGAGTTTCAAAAGCACATAGGCAAGCCTGCTCCTCGCCGGGCTAAATCCAGCCCAAAGGCAAAGATATAAAGATAAAGCGATCTTTCTTTGACTACATATCCATATAATGCACCAAGGCACAAAAGATAATGTATGTGCCCAACAAGATGATGTTTTAGTTTTGTGTTTAAGCAATTTGATATGCTGCGTATTATGTTTGACCTTCTTTCTTCTCGAGGAGTGGTATTGCCTATAAATTTCCTCGAGCTTCAAGCTGGACCATTGTTGAGCTATCCTGAAGCTTTTTCGTATACTCGTTGCAGAGCAGGTCTCATGCTGGCCCTTCCTAACATCCACTGTCAAACTTATTTTAGATACGCCTGACGCTCAGTTGAAGTCTGTTTGCTTTATTCATTACCCCTTGTCCCCTGCCCCCGGCGATAAGCTACGATTACACCTTTATCGGCTTTCATGCAGCTCTTAAAGATAAGATTTATCATATATTAACCCTACATAAACAAATAATTCAAGGTATCTGCTACCACTTTTGGAAGATATTCTATAAATGTTGGAATAACTCCTACTTCTATGCTCAGAGTAAAGGAGCCCGAACAGTCTTTTCCTACTCGGCCTCCCTATGGTTATCTTAGAACCCTGTTGAACAAACTCAGCATACTGATAACCTTATCCAACATCTCCGCGCGAATGAGCAAGTAGCTAAGCATGTATCGCAAATATGTTTTTGTCTGAACTGAGGGGGTCAAACGCAAACAAAAACCTAAAGTAAGAAAAGCTCTTGCATCGACGTAGTCTTCCTTTCCTTCCCCTCCCACTACTTCCTTACTTCCATCAACATCTACATCAGTGAAGCCATGACCGTTCCAGGCACCGAGTCGGAGCCCTCGCGGCCGATGACCTCGGAGGAGCTCAGGGCCGCGATCATTAAAGCCTGTTTCTTGTACAGCCAAGACGAAATTAGAGAGATCAAACCCCGAAAAGTCCGAGTGCTATGCGTATGCTTCGAGGCAGACAAGGACAGTCACCCCAACGTCGAAAGCACCAGTGAGCAAGTACGAGATGTCTTCAAAAACACTTATGGCTACGACACCGTCGGTCTCATGATCCGGGAAGAAGACAAAGCCCCCCAAACAACATTGACATCAGCTCTCAGAGGTCTATTCATCGGCATGGACGAAGACTGTGTGGCTATCCTGCACTACATTGGTCACGGAGGGCATGGCCAAAAATTCGTCTTCCCTTCATTAAGGCATGACAAGATCGATCCTTGGGAAGCCAACGTCTTGATTCTCTTCGACTGCTGTTGTGCCGTTGACATTGGCGGTTATATAGGCCATCGCAAAGAGTTGATCTACGCCTACGCTTCTGAGGAAAACGCATGTGGTGATGGTCTTGGTTGCGAACGCGGCTTTAGTAGAAATCTTGCACAGGAACTAAAGCATGCTCATGAATGTGGACATGTCTTATCTACGTCACAACTCTACAGTCGTCTGGCTACAAAGAATTTCACAATGAAGGAATCTTGGGAAACGGAACTGGATTCTCTGCCCCATTTCATTCGACACCCTCGAGATCACGGACCGTCCCTTCTACTGCAACCCATGCGGCATAGAAACAACATGAACCTGACCCCAGCCCCTTGCCAGACTTTGGGCGCCCAGGCAGCTGACGTCGTTTTGTCAGTTCAAATTGAGAATGGCGGGTGGCAAGCATTACACGCCGTTCAGTCTTGGGTCCAGAGACACCCATTGACTGAAGGCCGTGTCCGAGTCGACGAGCTGTACAAGAGAACGGACAAATGTATCCTCGTCGTCACCTTCCAGGTGTGGTATAACCTACCGGCCCATCCAGCCATGACTCTGACCGGTTTTGAGTTCAAGCGGACGACTGGTAGTCGAACTGGCTCTGAGACAAAACAAACAGCAAAGACGCCCGACTGCTGAAGAACGACTCCTCCTAGTTGGCCACCAGAACAGCAGCAATCTATTGCAGAATCGCATCGTCGTGACTCTGGAGTGAAATCTATAGAGCTGGAGCTGAAATGCCTAAGACGAGGGCAAAAGCTCAGACTAAATACCTCCCTTGTCGCAATATACCCTGGAACCTCGTTTTGTTCTACGAGGATTATCAAAATGAATAATATGCAATCTGGGTCACTCATATGCCTTCCATAAAAGGCTGTGGTATGATGTACCCTCGCTCATGGGAATTGAAATTTGCGGAAAGGAAAAAGGCTACAGAGCTTCAGTTGAAGGGTACCTACCACGAGGGAGGTTTCTCCAGACTCATTTTGAGGCGATCATGGCTCCCCCTGGCACTGGGAAGCTTTTTACACCTGGAGCAGGTCTTTTATTCAGAATGATTCCCTTACTAGCTCAGGATACACCACTCCATCACCAAAATGAAGGAACTACTTGTGAGCTTGAGATACACGATGGCGCCTGAAGAACGGTACGGGCACGGGAAATAGGGGGGCTCTAGTGCAAACGAACGTTAACGGTTTTCAAGAACGCAGTGATGCGCATTAATGAGAGATGATAGAGCTTGCTAGAATATAGTGAAATGCTCATACGAGCCCCGCCTGTGAAAAATAAGCTCTCAATAGATAGGTGGGTAGTATTATGGGTAGTTGAGCGAGGTAACTCACTCACAGATATGAGCATAGCGACTCTTACATCCACTGCCAAGTCGCACTTTTGGTTCTGTGATAAATACGCTCAACTCAAATTGATCCAGGCCAGAGAACCCTTGTAGCTTTTTGCCTGCCTTCAAATAATTCCGCTCAAGAGGCACTCTGCCATAGGTTATCACAGTGACAGGACAGTAGCCCATGAGCTTTCACTGATATTGATACTGAAGCTGCTAGCAAGATGGTCGATCGCCTGCCATAGAGAATGTCATTCGAGAATTTATTATGCGATCGTCTGGATTACTACAGGTTTCTATTTGCAAAGCATCTGCATCGAAGGTAACAATACATTCGCAGATATCTCCCCAAAGCCGACCCTGAGCTTCATCATCGAGGAAACTCCGTGGTACGAGATTATTCATAGGCCCCCTTGCTTCGTCACTTTGACTCCTCTTTTGGTAAGGATCAAGGTTGGTGTTACCGTCACAGGTTTTGATTTGCGATTGTGACTGAAGAATGATGTTGGAGACGCCGGGTCTCACTAATGAATGGACCAACCGCAGACAAACTGGCAGAACATCTGAAGCACAGAACTAGACTGGTGAAGGTCAAAAAGCTAAAGAGTTTAACCCTAAGGGATGAAAGAATTAGGTAAATTTAGGATAACTTAAGTAAATATAGGATAGTTTGAGGAAGTTTAGAATAAACTTAGGGGGGTTTTATGACTACTTTACCTCATTCTTTTAACCCCCCTAATTTACAGTCTCAGGCATTTTTGCTTCTGAAGGGCGGGGATTGGGAGGCTTTGATCACACGCCAGAATAGGGTTGTCGACCCTTGCCGAGGATGCTACAGAGCCTGTCGAAGATGAATATCTCGTCACTTTGATTCGTTCGAAAACGGCGGAACAAAACAAGTGCCTTGCCTTCCACGAGCAGCTTGAAAGTGCAAGGAGCGCTGTTTCGTTCGAGGAGAACATATAGGAGTCTCCACCCATGGATATGAAAGTCGCCCAAAAAAGATACAGGACGTGTAGTGTTTTCGTTCTGCATCACGACGGAACGCGGTGTGACCAAAGAGGGTATTGCGGCGAACTTCAAACCGTGCCTTAGAGAATATTGGCCAGATTGTGAATATTGCGGCAAAAATGTTCGAGATTTCTGGCAAGGGCTTAAAGACTTGAAGGCGAAGATAGGTCGTGAAAAATGTGGTGAGTGAGAGTTCACTAGGATATGAAGAAAGGAAATGCGAGCGCTTGAGAAGGCGACCAACCGAGGCAATGGTAGAGGGATTGATTGAGAAGAAAAGAAGAAAAGAAAAAGGTCGGCCCGGTCAGTCAGTGCTTGGTTTCAGTGGTACATTTTTTTGACAGCTGCCAGCATCTGCCACAGGATTTGCAAACTACTCACCTGTCTCCTTCCCATGGTTTCACCTGTCTTTCTGTTCCGTATTTTCCTTCCAACTTAGCCAACCTCGACCAAGGCAAAATTGTATCAGGAGTATACACAAAAACTCCCTGTGGGTAGAGGTATCTCTTTACCGATACGCTGCCAAGCTAACACCTGTGAGACTTTTGCAGTATTACCTCCCTTTTCTGCAATGTGTTTGGAAGATATGAAAAGCTAACCCTGCGCTTAGAAGTATTGGCCAAGGGTTTCCGAATTCAACCACGCTCAAAATGTCGGGTTCATCAACTAGCAATGCGTTCGCCGACTTCCATCTGGACTTCTCCACGCCTAAGCCATCCAGGGAGCAGCAGCGAATTGATACCTTCGCGCTTACTTCGAAGTTCACGTCGATGTCGGACTGCAGCCTCCGCATGATTGGAGTCGCCGCCCCGCGGAAATCCTAAGCCATCTAGAGAGGATGCTTTGTGCTGAAGAAGAGGACCAGATGATCATGATGTCCTCGAACGACGCTGGAAGCAATTCTCCAGGATTGTCCTTGAGAATGCCGTGACCTATGGCGGATACATCCGAGATCCTTTCCACGAGAACATCGATGCTCAGTGTGCTCATCTCGCCCCCTGACTTGCACTTTGCTTTGATTTTATGGGTGCCAACATTTCCAGAGCCAACGATGAAAGGGAAGAAGGAAACGAAACTTAGCAAGACATATCGGAAGCACCTCCGTTCATTTCATGAGGAGACTTTCTTTCAATCATGGGACTGAGTCGTAAAAGGTGATTATGTACCATATGGTGCCACGACGGAGCAGGTTTGTATTACTCAGACTCACGAATATGTTATCGGGGGTTTGTCAGTCAAGGATTTTGGGCAAAGTATTGAATGGGACTGGGCTGTAAGCGTAAAGGGAGACTCTCAGGGGAGACATCGCGAAACATCTGGAGACATACGCCTCCTTACCTGGGCCCTCCCGAGATTCTCTTGTGAAAAAAGGAAACTCGACAAAGATACGAAGCTGTTTCAATTCCTTCATGTGTTATATGAAGCCTCAAACCACGGTCTTGTACCATAACTCCAGTCCGAATGGCCATTCGAGGGGTAAACGAGGGGATCGGCTTGGTAAGATAGCATCGCCATAAGCCAGATTGTGCGGTACATTCGAAATACAAATCGGCATAGCAAAGTATTCAAGCTGCAGAAATATATCCTTCAGATCAATTGCGAAGCTTTCCACTTCCGATTTCTACGGGGTCAAAATGATAACGACAATTGTTTGACATGAAGTGATTCCATGGAGTTGCTTATAAATTCAGCTCCCATTCAGGATCATCAAGTTCACTACGGACACCGGCACTGTTGATGTCGATAACCCATTGTCTGATCTTGGAGAAACGTGCTCCGAGTAGCTGAAACTCGTACAATTCTAGCAACGGTAAGGTCGACCCAGGATCGAGCACACCATACAAGCCTTGCACATTCTGTCATCGGGATATGTTGGTGGTATGCTGGCGTTCGCGAAGACCCAGAGATTTCTAGTTCTTTCTGATGAGAAAGAAGAACAGAGTTTTCAGTGAACCATTTATCACAGATCAAATTCGTTCCTTTGGACTTTTATGTCTACTAAATAATTCACTCTTGAATCCTGACCCATTCATATTTGTCGGCACTATAGGTTATACAACTCATGGTAGATCAACTCCCGGTAATCAACTCCCATCCTTAAGCTAACCATACACCTGAGGAGCAAGAAAACTTCTGATCCATGGCACTAAGCGCCTTCGAAGACCTATGATGGAATAGAATTTGCCGTGCGGAGTCAGAGTTTACCAGCAGTCTGTCAGTGTTGGTGTTTGGTAGATACCTAATGTCATCACATCTGTCCTGCTCACAACTCATGAGAGTACGAGACACCATTCAAATGCCTGATACCTTATTTCAACCAAGCTTTTCGTAAGCCAATATCTATACACTAAGTATTAATGCCCCTCGACTTATCTGGGTCCTGTTAGTACCATATTTCCCGGCCTCCGAATCATGCCAGACGGGCCTGAATCCATAAAAGCATCACGGCACCAAAACGAGTACATTAGAAGTCCGGCGGGGATGCGTAACCTCTGTTTTCCCTCGTGGATGTTGTCATTGGATTATCAATTTGATGCCCAACTGGAGGAATTGCATTACTCCGGTGGGGAAGCGATTGGCTTACACGACATGGGGAACATCAACTGAGATACTTTTACTACATGGAGAGCAGCATGACAACGAGTAAGTCGTAACTTTTTGAAACTCATAATTCGTCTATTGCCTTTTCTCCTCACTCTCGATCTCAAGGCAGTATCATTCCACTGTCATCTGAAGGCCTGATATCACCATGTTCTTCAACGACAAGACTCGCCTCCGCTACAAATACGATGCAGAGGAACTCTGGATTGAACCATGGGGTCCAAACGCATTCCGTGTGAGGGCGACCAAAGCTGCTGTGATGCCATCGCAAGATTGGGCCCTTCAGAAGCTTGCAGAAGTGGCGCCAGACATCTCTATTTCTGACGAGTCTGCAACCATCAAGAATGGCAACATCAAAGCCCGCATTTCCCGCCAAGGCAAATTAATCATTGAGAAAGCGGATGGGAAGCTTCTGCTGGAAGAGTACTCTCGTCATAGACGAGATCTTCTCGATCCAAAGTGCAGTGCTCTGGAAGTTGAAGCTCGCGAGTTCAAGGGAATACTAGGAACAGACAACTATCACCTGACAATGCGCCTTGAGAGTGTGAGTCCAGATGAGAAGATCTTCGGAATGGGCCAGTATCAGCAGCCTTGGCTTGACCTGAAAGGACTCGATCTTGAGCTTGCACACCGCAACTCTCAAGCAAGCGTTCCCTTCGCCGTATCTTCACTTGGATATGGACTATTGTGGAATAATCCCGCAATAGGAAGGGCTGTGTTTGGCAAGAACATCATGAGCTTCGAAGCTTTCTCAACTCAAATTCTTGACTATTGGATTGTCGCTGGGGACACACCAGCTGAGATTGTTGAAGCATATGCGGACGCTACTGGCAAAGTTCCCATTATGCCTGAGTATGGGCTTGGATTTTGGCAGTGTAAGCTACGATACCAGACGCAGGAGGAGCTTCTTGAGGTGGCCAGGGAGTACAAGCGCCGAGAGATTCCGATTGATCTCATAGTCATCGATTTCTTCCATTGGCCCAAGCAGGGGGATTGGAAATTCGACTCAGATTACTGGCCTGATCCCGGTGAGCACTGACTGAACATGCTGAAGAAAACGACTGTTAACAACGATCAGATGCTATGGTGAAGGAGCTCACTGATCTTGGAATTGAGCTCATGGTTTCTATCTGGCCAACCGTTGACAAAACAGCTGAAAATTACCAGTACATGCTGGAGCATGGATACTTGATTCGAACTGATAGAGGTGTCCGAATCGGCCTTGACTTCCAGGGCCAGACGGTACATATCGACACCACAAACCCAGATGCAAGGAAATATATATGGGACACAGTCAAGAAGAATTATTACTCCAAAGGCATCAAAACATTCTGGCTTGACGAAGCAGAACCAGAATATGCAGCATATGACTTTGACAACTACCGATACTGGCTAGGCTCCAACGGGACAATTGGAAATATCTACCCCGTCAACTATGCCCAAGCCTTCTATGAAGGCCAAGAAGCAGCGGGTCAGAAGAACATTGTCAATCTCCTTCGCTGCGCTTGGGCCGGCAGCCAAAAGTACGGAGCTCTTGTATGGAGCGGAGATATTGCATCCTCATGGTCTAGTTTCCACAATCAGCTGTGCGCAGGTCTCAACATGGGTCTTTCAGGTATATCTTGGTGGACCACAGACATCGGCGGATTCCACGGCGGTGATCCCAACGACGAAGGTTTCAGGGAGCTCTTTGTGCGGTGGTTCCAATGGGGCGCATTCTGCCCAGTCATGAGACTCCATGGTGATCGCGAACCCCAGCAACCACAGCAAGGAACGACCGGCGGTGCAACGTGTCGCAGTGGAGCGCCTAACGAGGTCTGGTCCTATGGCCCTCAAGTTTATGATATCTGTGTCAAGTATATCAAGATCAGGGAGGAGCTTCGACCGTATACTCGAAAGCTTATGAAGGAAGCACATGAAAAGGGAACACCAGTTATGCGACCTCTATTCTATGAGTTCCCTGAAGATAAGAAGTGCTGGGACATTTCGACTCAGTACCTCTATGGTGACAAGTATCTGGTCTGTCCTGTACTAAAACCAGGTCAGACGAAGACAGAGGTTTATCTACCTAAGCTCTCCGATGGAGAGAAATGGTCTTCTTTCAACGGCGATGAGTCTTACGAATCCGGAAAAACGGTCACCGTCGACTGTCCCTTGACTCAAATGCCAGTCTTTGCTCGAGGAGCATAAGACTTTGGGACCGCTGGGCATTCATGGTACGTAGAGCACTCTGACAGAGTGGGTATCTCAAGATGACAAGAGAAGGTTGAGAAGAGAGTTATTAAAATACACGGGTTCCGCTTGCACGTTCGTTTTCTTGTGCCGTGGTGCCGTGTAACAGACTTGTCAAACCCTTAATATAGGAAGTTTCGACCCCCCATGCCTTGTTTTTGGCTCTCACATGTGATAACATCCTTATACCTTCTTTGAGAATCTTCGGTGGAGCATTGGAGCTGCAAATATTGCCAACTCTCTGCATGTAGCCAGACATCTTATGTCCTAGTCGTATGTAGACTTGCACCATTTCATCATCACAAGGACGATCTAGATGGATGAATGTCGGATCTGGCTCCTCCTCGTTCTCGACCTCATTATTTCCAACGGATCCTTGCGATTCACGATCTCCGGAAGCTGGCACTGATCTTGGTGCTGCATCACCTTGTTGTTGCTGAGACCCAGTCCTAGGGGTGTTGAACACGCTGTAAGCCCATATCGAGAGGGTAGCAAGGTAAACAGCATGGGGCTCTATGAAATCGTTACTACTATATCGACGGACATGCCACAACAAAGCGCCAGCGTGGATTATAGACAGCCGTGCCTTGTACTGGTCGATGTTGGCCCAACGTTGAATGTGATTGCAGGCTTCTGAGTATTCCATATTGTTCTGAATTCCATTATCGTTTTGTCGTAGGACTGCAGCTGCAGCGACCTTCTGAAAATGCTTCGTAGGCGTCAAGATATACAACCGGGAAAGGTGAAGGTGAAGAATCGTCGGGTGCTCCCTCCCACCAGCATTAGCCGCTTTGCCGTTCGCTTTCCAATGTAAGATATCAAAGGCGTCACAGGCACTGTTTCTCCACCTTGTGACAATTTCAAGAGTTGGTGGCCATGTTTCAGTCACAGAGACTGACTCCTTTCGTGGCTCAACGTGAGCAACTGGGATCCATCGGGACAAGGCCGTTCCATGCTGGTAGGCGGATTCTTTGGTCCTTGCACAAACTGCGTATATTAACACGATGTTTCCAAACTCTGTCAAGTTTGATGGTTGTCGCTTTTCCATATAAAGGAGATGAAGCGCCTCTAGTACCGTTACTATCCGAATATTCTAAAGTCAGTATAAGCCAGATGTCGGTCGGTTGGATCTCAGAATACAAACCTTGATACGCGTCTCTACTGTATATCTGTTCCACGGTTGGTTGATTCCATATTGATTCTCGGCACGGAAGTCTCGTTCTAAGCTCGTGTACTTGCAATACCTGGGGAAAGTTAAACTCGTGGGAAACGATCGTGTCAAGGATCTAGATATTCGTGAGACTGTGTTTCTAAAGATCAGGGCTCAACTTACCCAAATCATAAGTCCAGTGCGCAACTTTGATTGAGTTTGCATCCATGCCGTGATAGCTACATCGTCATTTTGAACTGGCGTGTGACCAGTTTGTGGCGGGGTCTGGGACAGTAGATCCATTGTCCTGCATTCTTCTATAAGAGCGAGCCTTTGATACAGAGCATATTCCATCTTGACTTCCTGCCCGCTATGAATTCTAGAGATCAAGTTCAGAATAGCTGCTTGAAGTGTCTGAAGGTCCATCCGGCCTCGTGATTGAAAGCTGCCTGGCACCCAAAAGCCGTTTGCACTACCGTTGTTTTCTTTGATTACGGAGTCAACCCTGTGGTTCAAGGCCTTTTCTAGAAGCTCTGACATAGCTGATGACCACAAACTTCCAGCATATCGGGCGCCGGTGGTTGCTACAGCTAGTAACAGGATCCAGTTATCTGAGACTTGCCAGACGGAGGAGTTTTTCTGCAGAAATGGATACGTCGGGTGAAAGTGTCGGTAATAAAGCAGCACAAAGCACCTGATATGTTCCAGAGGGGGAATCTGGACGTCTAAATCAAGTGATGAATCGATCCCGATCTCATTTTGAACCGCAGACGATAGTTGGGAGTAGAGAGCCTCTGGCACAAACGTATTTTCAGGAGATTCTCGCATACTCCCTACTAAGGAATTCAAAAAGTCGAAATCTGACCCATCTGCCTCGGGAAGGCGGGGGTCTTGTACAGGACGATTGCTCTGTGAACTGACTTGCTGGGGGAGTAGTTGACCACGGAATGGGGCTCTAGCTGCTGTTCCATCCACGTAGAGGGCTCCATCGGTTGATGTTGATGCATTGGAGTCTTGAACACTGCTCGTTTGTCCGTCGTAAGGGCTCTCCTCAACTGCAGGGTAGTCTGTTTGATCCGCTTCAATAGCTGGCGTTTCCATTGAACCATTCATGCTCATATTAACACCCATAGACTGCTCTGGGACCCAAGAAGAGACAGGGTTGCGTCCGATTAGTTCAGAAGGATATGTGTATGCCATCGATCCAAGGCCTTCGGGGATAATCGGCAATTGGTTCTCCCACAAAGGAGCAAACTGACTATCTGAGAGCCAATTGATATTGGGGACAGCCGTAGTGAAATCCGGTACTTCTGGAAAGCTTCCCATGTCGTCGATTGGGAACATTGGGTTCATTGGTTGCGGTGCAACGGCAATTGACTCGTCATTAGATGGCCAGGCTCCGTCTACTGGATCAACCGTGAAAGCGTTAGAACCATTCATGTTCCAGGAAACGTTGTTGGCATCATTGACTCCGCTATTGTTTGTAGCCAGCTCCGTTTCCACTGGCTCCGTTTCCAGTGGTTCCGTTTCCACTGGTATAGTTGCCAATGGCTCTGGTGCCTGAGTATCATTTTCGCCCTCCGCATCTTCATGCAAGCTTTGTGCGGGTAATGGTTCGGGAGACTGAAGATTCGAACCCTTCTTCTTCCTCCTCCTCCTCTTCTTCTCCTTCTGAGGCACCGGCACCGGCACCGGCTGAGGCTTTCGTCTCCTGGGCATAGGGTAGATGCATTCCAACTTTTTATCTTCACATCTTGTGCATCGCGGGTCTCTTGAGCAACGGCTGCGGCTAGCAGCACATTCTTTGCACGCTCTTATCGTCACTATCTCGCGCGCGGTTAAGGTTGTTGTGTGTGTATGTGTGTGTTCGTGTCGCTGAAGAACATCTAGTCGCGAGAAGGACTTATTGCATTTCGTACAAGAAAATGGTTTCTCATGGGTATGGGATCTCATATGGCGTAGTAGATGTTCCTGGCGCGAAAACATGCGCCTACAGGAGTGACACTGAAACGGTGTTTGCTCGTCATCGCTGTCCACCTGTCTATACTCGTCATCGCTGTCCATCTTTCTATACACTCACGACGCTTCGATGACTATCAGCCGTGAATCATTTTCTCATGACGGATGTCGTTCGATAGTTGTGAGCTTCAAGTTGCAGTGCGGAGTAAGACGAATGCAGGTGGCGGGATGGATCTTTCTTGTTCCGCATTGATGACTTTCCGTTTTCTTCAAGATGCATTATCAACGAATGGGCAGATTGGAAAGAGCCGGCTCCCTATAGTAACATCCATATATTCTGACCTTATCTTGGCCCGACATGTGATGGATGATGTGGCCATAGGTAAGGTACTTTAATGTTGGCCTTGCCGGTCTCATTCAATTGACTCCGATGCATCAACGGCGAGCGTATCCGATCTCGTTTCTTTTGCTTTACTATCACCAATCACAACTCAATGATTCTATTCGACATTCACCCAACGAAACAAAGATCTTACAGAGAACACGTTTGATCACAATTCACGGATCAAAGTCCCCGATAGGCACATTTTTCCTCATGCGCGTAATCCGGGATCAACCCGGACATGCAGGCTGAGTGAGGCCCTCATCAACGTTACAGTAATGCAATCCGGCATTTAGCCAAATACGAGGCTGAATGTCGTTAAAGTTTCAGTGACTTTGACAGAAGTGTCTCCCCTCCCCCACCGGACTTTCAGTTGATTCAGTGCTCCGGTGGGGATCAAAACACCATGAGATCTGTGAATACATGCCCCCACAGGAACCCCATATTCTTCAACGCGAACTAGGGCAATAAGCTTTTGACTATCCTTGGCAGAATATCCCCAGATTCTTCCCCACAAACCCCGGGTGATCACCAAGAAACGAGCACTTTCATAGAGAATATGGGACGAAGCGCCTGGGGTTTGTCAGGCGACCAATGTCTGTGGTCTCTTGTGCTTCCCTATAAATGAAGCTCATGCCGCCGATCCTGGTTCATCTCGACAGTCAGTCGATGTTGTCTTATCCTGGTCACAGGTACATCTAGGCCTTCATTGGATACCTTCCTGCATCATGGCTGCTCTCACAGACGACAAGGTCGCTAGGGTTAGCGAAGATGACCATGCCCCAAACTACGACACGGTCAAAGACACATCCATCGCGAAGCAGGCTGCAGAGGAGGAACACAACCTCACATTACTGCAGGCCATTCGGAAATATCCCAAGGCTGTCATGTGGTCGGTCCTTCTCTCTACCTCGATCATCATGGAGGGTTATGATATCGTTCTTATCTCATCCTTCTTCGCCCAACCATCCTTTCGAGAGCACTATGGAAGCTACCAGCCCAAAACCGACTCCTGGCAAATCACAGCTTCCTGGCAGAATGCACTTTCGAATTCCGTGAGCGTTGGGACTATTATTGGCGCGTTTGCCAATGGTTATTTCACATATAAGTTCGGCTACCGCAAAGTACTTCTTACTTCCTTGGTTGCCATATGTGGCTGCATCTTTATCTCCTTCTTCTCACCGAGTCTGCCGGTTCTTCTTGTTGGCCAGTTCCTTTGCGGCATCCCATGGGGCATTTTTGCCACTATGGCTCCTGCATATGCATCAGAGGTCTGCCCCATGGCATTAAGAGGATATTTGACCGTCTATGTCAACCTCTGTTGGGCCCTAGGACAGCTTATTTCGGCTGGAGTACAAGCAGGCTTCTCTAATACGACCGGGCATTGGTCCTACCGAATCCCCTTCGCAATCCAATGGGCATGGCCTGTCCCTTTATTCATCGTCCTTTTCTTCGCCCCCGAATCCCCTTGGTTCTTTGTAAGGATTGGTGACTATGAAAATGCTGAGAAGTCAATTACCCGCCTAAGTTCCTCAACAAGTCCTGGCCATGCGAAACAGGCTCTTGCCATGATGATCCATACCAACGAGATCGAAAAGTCCATCGACCAAGGTACTTCATATCTGGATTGTTTCCGCGGGGTTGACCGACGCAGAACCGAGATTGCCTGCATGGCCTTTGCTGCCCAGCCTTTCTGTGGATCTTCCATGGGTGGTACCCCGACTTTCTTCTTCGTGCAGGCTGGTTTGCCTGAGTCGATTTCTTTCCGAATGTCTGTTGGTGGTCTTGGGATTGCGTCTGTGGGCACAATCATTTCTTGGTGGTTGCTCCCCCTTGGAAGGCGTACACTGTATCTTTGGGGGCTTGGCTTGCTCACGGCTGTGTTGATGATTGTTGGATTCATCAGCGTTGGTGCTGGAGACTCTCAGGCAGGAAACTACGCGCAAGCCAGTATGATGCTCATTTGGTTAGGGGTGTATTACATGACTGTTGGCCCTGTTTGCTACGCAATCATCTCGGAAGTTTCTTCCACCAGACTGAGAAACAAATCTGTCTGTGTCAGCCGAATCGCCTATTATATCGCTCAGATCATCTGCAATGTTGTCAATCCTTATATGCTCAATCCAACGGCAGGAAACTGGCGAGGCAAAACTGGCTTTTTCTGGGGAGGTTGCTCTTTTGTCTTCTTTATTTGGACGTTTTTCCGACTTCCTGAAACGAAGAACAAGACATTTGAAGAGCTTGATCTTTTGTTTGCTAATAATGTGGCAACCCGCGAGTTTGCCAGGTACAAGGTGGATGCGTATGCTGAGGATGAGAACGTCTTGACCGTGCAAAATACCAATCGCTATTGATCAGCACAATGCCGGAACTTCTGATTTGTCTGACATTTTCAGACAGAGAGGGCTGATCTGAAAGGGGTCTTGAAGGGAAATGCTTTGCTTCAGATCCAAGCAGTTGGGATTTCAGTTTCATTAATAGCTCCCCAGTAGGCAGCTAGTCGAAATTTATTTGGGAGAATGCTTGTTCTGTCTTACACCTCGAAACTGTGAGATATCACAGCTCTATGAACCAGACTATGGTTGAGCCATCTATGCTTGCGAGGAAGGTGATACAAGTGATGAGAACAAACAGAGCAATCGCCAACAGAAAAAGCTTACTAACATAGTGGAATCTCGAAAACATCTTGCGACGTTTGCCAGCTGTTTGCAAATGTGTTGCTTATCAGCCTTTGCCATCCAAATGTCACTAGCTGAAGATTCTGGTAACTTCTTCACTAGCTTATCTGTCTCCTGTCTTTGTTGTCCTTTACTATATATATCCCTTCCCTGTTCATGGTTTTTACATCTTCTTCTTGTCATTTTATATCTCACCATCATTACCACTTGGAATGCAGGCGCCAAAGAGCCGAGATCTCTGGGCTTACAATGCCTACCTTATATTATTCAACTTCTAGCTATATGCTCTTTGATGCCAGGGGAAACGCCCACCGCCGAGAATCTCCATAGAGCATGGGAGCGATGTGAAGATGCCGAAACACCTTCCTGTGCTCTGAAGGTAAGGCCTCCCCAAGATGGATCAAGTTAACGAAGGCTGATGTATAGAAAAGTCCCACACGATCTCTCAGGGCATGCTGACGGCAAGTGAAAGACCAGCATTGTTCAGGTCTACAACAAAGAAGCTCTCGGCCCTAGAAGCGTCCAGCAGTATAAGTATATACATAACGGCCATTGCCGAGCTCCATGCGAGCTACACATTTCCTTGAGTATATATTATAACGTATTGCCGAGAGCGTGCGTAGGAACGACCTACAAAACACAACATGGCGGTTGAAGCAACTAGCGACACACTGAGACGATCAGAAGATGGGTTCAGTAGTGAAATTCCTCCGCAGCTTCCCTATGAAGGCCCGGTCAAATGATCAATCTGGGGTTTTCATGTCATAGACAGAAATCATGTTAACAACGTGGAGTCGACCCAACCCACTGAACCTCCTTGCATCCATCACACATATTTTGGTCTGAGAACCCCAGGATTCCCGACGATCTCGAGTTATCAAGGATAGCTTATAGAATCAGCCGCCATCAAACAGCTTTATGGGAACATCATGCGCACAAGCATCAACATATACAACACGAGAAGACCATATATATATAGTAAGCTAGAGTAAGTCCCTCCTTAAACTCCCAGCAAGTTTCTTGATTATAATGTAGCTAATATTGTATACATAGATGAGTTTGGCTTCCTGTCTGCATGAACCTGGCGACAAGGAGTGCGCTATTGTGTTCAGGCTCAGATGGGGTACCAAGAACATTTGCGTATTCCAAAGCGAAACTACACTTCAAAAACCTTCAGCAACGAATCAAAGCCGTCTGTCGCGGTGTCCTGCTTGAAGCCCTCAGCCAGCCGCAAATCATCGAGAACATTCAAGCGAGTCCAAAGTTCCATATCAACTCAAGGTAAATTCACTCATTGTGCATGCGACGGCTGTGCGCCGAGATGTATATTAGTTGCACAGATATTTCGCCAACATATCGCGTCGATCTCGTCCCAGCTTCGATGCCTGCTGGAGATGGTCTCCCCTCTAAATACTTATGGGGCTGCAGAGCCAACGACCTCGACTTCTCCCTCTTCCTCCTAAACTATATACGCACGCTTGGCCTAGTGAATTATCACCATGATCCTAACTCGAGGTCCAGCAAAAGGATGAAGCTTGGGAAACCCAATTGGCCTTTGTTCGAAACAATCGTAGTCTCACTGGCACTCTTTCGGGTATCATAAACGCCAACTATTGGTAGTCCGAGGCAAACGTGCCTGCAGGAGTCTTGCTATATTTCGCAGGAGAGTTACTTACTGAGAAAGGCATATATATCAGCCCGTAAGCCCCTATTTCGACTTTATATATATCGGCCAACAGCCTAATACAGATTTGGCACCGAGCACGGGCCCAAATGTTGGCAGATGGTGTACCTTTGTAGCTTTGTCTTGCTGGCGGGCTCGGACATGTGAGAAAAGTGTTTCATGACTCAACCAGCGTTGATTGTTCGATATTTCGAGGTCGTGCCAATGTCGATGATACCAACAAGGTGACACGCTCGTCACCCTTGAGAAGCGACAAAAACGGAGTCACCGGATATATTCGCGACGAAGGCTTGGAGACATGTGTCCCTTTCGAAAGGCGATTCGAGCAGGCCAGGGAGAACGGCGAGCTTTACCGAGTAGCAGCCCATGGGGTGTAGACTTGAGTAAGATAAGCACATGTCTCAACACGCTAACGCCTACTTGGAGAGGCAATGAGGAGCATCTGACAGAACTCGACGGCGAGGGCGATCTCAAGAGAGTAGCCGAGCCACCAGCTAAGCGGGCAAAGCAACAAGCCGCACTGGACGAAGTCTGCCCCGGCCAATGCTACCTGAGAGCACCAAACTGGAGATTATAAACCTGATCACATCTCCCAACCATCGGTCTACAGAACGGAACGACTTGTATTCTTCCCATCAGCAAACAGACGTGACATTTGGCGCACTATCAATACTGCTCGAAGAACCAAGGCCACCATCAAGGAAGTACCAGACGAGTGTCGAAAAGCCGAAGACTTCTCTCAGGTGGCGACGATGCCTTCAAGGGTGATGAAAGCCCTGATAGGTTATGGTGAGAGCTTCTGGTTACTGGAATGCTACACGGGCAGAGATCAAGGAGGTCGACCAGGTTGATTGGGAATCTATCCTGCATATGCTCAAACAGCGATTCGGCGACACGTTGAATGCAAGTCCCGGTGGTGTTGCTTTAGCTTTCGCGTTGACTATACTCGAAAACGTTGCGAGATTGAATCTAATCACGAGTCAACGGGAAGAGTGTTCGCCCAGCTTGTTGCTATAATGGAAGGGCTTTCTCGTGAGAGACAATGAACGAACAAGATGATAGCGACACGCAACTTTGTACCTCAGGCAGCTGCTGACAGCTGCCAGTACACTTTCTTAGCATCCCAGCCCTTATTTACCTATCCACCAAATCCGATTTTGTTTCTCTAGAACTTCCCCTTGCCTTCTTTTTCTTCTCAATATCTTATCCTTTGCAAGTCACGCTGCTTCTACTCTTCTAGTGTCCACGGCGAGAGGTTACCCCCCGTTGCTCAGGTTTTATGTCTAGCCAGCGGCCAGTCACCAATTTCATCATAATTCTCATATTCTTTCCTGTGCTCTGTTGTTCGACAGCGCTCTTCCGACCATAGTATTCAACAATATGCAGGATCTTCTGCTCCGTTTGCCGGCGCGAGCCATGGCAAACGCTCTCGAAAGAGAGGATCTCGAAAGCATCACCCGCTTAGACTCCATTCTGAGACACAGGTATGGAAACGAATACTTCCAAACAGTTCGCGTACGCGGCACGCAGTCCCAAGTCGCCGAGAGATTAGGGAACCATCCTCGATCAGCAGGAATCTGGTATGCTCCAAAGTATAACTAAAACAAGATTTACAACATTCTGACGCGTGCAGGTTTCTCGAAATCTATGTCGAGGGCACATGTTATTCCCTCTCATATCGACCGACGTTGTTCGAGTTGGACGCACGCCAGACAGGTCCACGGATCCTTGATCCCCGCACGGCCCGCGACCATCGAGAGCACTCTGAAAATGCCCGCTGCCTGCAACGAATTGCACAAGCTCTGAAACAGCTCATGGAGCTTGTCGGCGTATCCATCGAGTTCAAGTCTTGCGAAAATCATGAAGTGGATTTTGCACACCTGGCTCAGCTCTTGAAGCAGGACATGGTACAGACAAATCTCCGCGATGTTCGTCTCGTCGATGGCGGCGGGAGTCTCTTGGCCCGCAAGAAGCTTCTCCTAGCCCTCATGAAGATGTGTGGCCCCTCTCAAGCTCGATGCGTTGACTTTGATCACCATCCTGAAATCGTCAACTTCTTCCACTCTCTCGGAAACACCCAGAAGCAGGTATCAGCCCTGTGTGTTGGAAGTGAAGGGCACCAATCTGTCGATGGTCATGTCATCTCTAGACTTGAAGTGTTCGACATTTGTCGCCTCGGGTTTCGGTTCCTGCAGTAATTGGTTCTGATCGACTGAATCGAGAGTGACCACGTTCTTCAGAATGTAAACCCTAGCAATCAAGGCGGGCTGTATCACCTTGTAAGTCCTCTAACCACTGAATGGATCTTCTAAATTGCTAAGGATGATACTAACAACTGTCATCTTCCAGTACGCTGTCACACTGGAGCGTGCAGTTTCGTGGAGGTCGACGACCACTATGAACCCCCTGTTGCCGAGGAGGGTAATGCTCTACACAGACTTGCGCTGATGATTGAGCTTAAGCTGTGTCCTCTGAGATACTTTGCGTTCTCTATCACATCGGGCTTCAACCGCGAATGCGTTTACCGAGATAAAGAGTACGAAAACATCAATGAGATCTTTCCCAACGATCTGGGAGCAACTCAGTCTGATTTCATCAAGTCTCTGGTCATCGACATGATGGTCTATCTTCCCAAGCTAAAGGAGATGTGCATTCTTCCCTACGGAGCGCACTTCTACCGAGGCCAGCGAATGCTGGGCGCTGGTCCCATCGACGTTGGGGAACTTGAATGCCTTGTGTTGCTCCGCAGCAGATTCCCCCAGTCACTCGAGCTCCAGCTCATTCTCTCATGGGGAGACCGGCATCTTCCTCAGCTCAGCGTCGACGAGGGGTATTTTGGCGGCTCCGAGTATAATTCTCTGTACAACCTTGCACTCTTGATTGAATCTGAGCTGCGTCAATCACGATATTTAACCTTCTCTGTCACAATGATTTTACTGATGACCGCTTTTCTCTTGGACTTTGATACGGCGAGAGATGGGGAAAAACTCAAGACTTTCATCCTAAGTGGCAAAAGTATTTACATAAGTTTAGGATATTTTAGGATATCTTATGATGATTTGGGATAAACTTAGTAGAATATTTGGCTATTTTATTTTCGCCACCTGATTTAGAGCCCTAAGTGTTCTCACCCCCTGAGGAACCTCACTTCCAGGCATAGGCTCAATTGACCATGGTAAATGCAAGGGCGAGATAATATCTTAGATGACTCACAAACAAGGTGAGCCTCTGGCAGACTTGTTTGAGGAGATGCCAACTACAAGTACAATTCATTCACTCTACAACAAGAGTCTAACATCTACTGCCTGCAGAAGTCCTTCCGTGAAAGGCGGAGGATCATTATGTATGATCCGACCGAACGTCCGTGTCACCTTGTTGTCCATCAATTCCAGTGAACCGCTTCAATAACGATCTTGAGACATCAGGGAACGGATTTAGACAACGAAAAGACTCCTCACCAAGATTGATATATGAGTCTCGCTGCCAGACCGACATAGGGGCCTGGGTCCTTTTAGAAGCTTTGAGCTTGTTACTCTCGACGTGTTAATTGTCATGCTACAGTATGATCCTTTGGAGGGGAATAGACTGAGGTAGTGGTCTGTACGTAAACACGTTCAATGGAAGTGTTCAACAAATGCACGTGAGATCTCATCCAACTAATACCGGCAATTAGATGATATTGTTGGCCCCCTTTCCTTATACTTCATGGTTTATCACGAACCTCATTAATAATTATACGGGGCAGCAGTCCTTCGTCCAGGAGATTCGAGAAGGCAAGAGGCACTCTTCGGTGCTGTTGTGGATTTGATGCCCCCTGATGTATCTCGAAGATGATGAAAGTCATGGAAGAAACATGTTTCTAAAAAGGACGTTGAGAGTATATCACATCCAGCTTCTGTTCCAGAGTGTCATAGTCATGGTCAGTAGGCATAAGAAGAATAAAGCCTTTAAGTCTATAGCTTGAAGGTGTGAAGGGAGGAGATGCATCAGCCAGCCTGGGTCAGTTTCATCGAGGTCTTGTAAGGTCGATGGCCATTAATATTGTAATGCAGAAATGGTTCATGTAACAAAAGTGCCTAGGTTTTCACTGAATCACAGTACCCCAAGGGCCCTAAGGCAGATAGTTGTCTGTATCGACACGGGCAACTCAGTCGGCCCCGCCTATCAATTTCCCACAACATCGCTTCCGCCAGCAGAGTAAGTATCTCCAAAACTTCTGATATCTTCATTTCCTGACTTATCTGTCTTAGTATTGCCGCCCAGTCTTTTCCATAAGTCTGTCCATATTCATTATCGGACAATTCGAATTAGCCAGGGTATGGGGGTTCTTATGCTTTGGTGCTTGATGATTGAGGACACTGTGATGATCTGGGACAAAGGGGGTTTTACATCATGATATGACATTGAAACACAGGTTTTCGTCCCAGAACAATAAATCCACGATCTAATGTTCTCTGTCCTCTTCATTTGTGATGTCGTGATGTAGAGTGAGAGTATTGTCTGTGCTTAGTGAGAGTATGATGCATGGCATCAATCCCGCACGACGATACAAGCCGGTCCTCCCCCACAAGATGGAAGATAAATTCTATAACGCTGTCTTCGATGGATGGAACTGGCTTACAGATGCTTCATCTTTACTGCTTCCTTCCAAAAAGGTTGTCAAAGAAGTTAATGCCTGCTTTGGTACCTGGGACAAAAACTGGACCCGTAAGCCCTTAAAGGGAACTGCCGCCGGCCAGATCCAACCTAGATTGTCTGTGATTCTCTTAAGCCTTAGTGAATCGAAGTACGACAGCCCATTGGACTCACTGAGCCTCAAGTCACGGACAGTTCCACTGAGATACATATGAGTGATCTTGGTAAGTGCTCTTGGGCAGCTACAGTGCGGATAACGCTACGGGCGACGCTGCAGACAATGCCACGAACAGATTATACCAAGGTTAATATGGGAACTTCACGAATGGACTCTATCGTTTGAGGTTTGGCCTTCTTAATTATGCGAAGTGTTACTTTTTACTAACCGCAAGAAGGACAGGCCCGTTTCCGATGAACAAATTGTTTCTCCCCTTTGCCTTTGCTCCAGGATTATTGGGTTGAGCGTGATGCGACTGTCGGTCATTATACCACTTGTCCCAGCGGTCGTTGGACACACCAGTCTGCGTTATCTAACTTCCTTGTTGGGTCTGCCATCTTCACAGTCGCATTCCCCTCGCTGCTCTTTACGGTCGTAGTGTTTAGTAGTTACCACCAGACAGTCTGCTGACGGTGCTTTCGAAGCGATCAATGGCCTTCTGCTGCTTCGAGACCGTGTCAGTCAACTTCGTGATCAAAGTACTAGAGTGTGGCTTGCCGTCGTCCGAGCCGTGCTTGTAGGTCAAGCTCTTATCGAGCTCATCTCCGCGCCGGGTGAGGACGGCGTTGACGATGCCCTTGCACTCTCGCCGGAGTGTCTTGACACCATACACACCGACCAAGATGAACCACCGTTCGTAGGTTATGTTCATCCACTTAGGCTCGTTGTTGGCTGCATCAAATATTTCCATGCTGATCTGGTGCTTGATAGCCCGTTGATGGGAGCCATTTGTGTGCTGGAACGCACCGTCGATAAGTAGACGACGCAGCTCATCGCTGACCTTTGATGGCATGTCTGGGCCATGCTCGTTGAATAGACGAGTGAGTCTGACTGCACTCTGGTAGTCCATTTGGTTTGCTTCACTGCCCCTGGGTAGGTCCTGAACGGCCAGTCGAACCACCTGGACAGAACGCGCCCAGGAGGGTAGAAGTCCGTTGACAACGTCTGCGTACCATCCTATTTAATGAGATATCAGTTGAATTAACTCTTTGAAAGAATCATCAGGGATTCTCACTCGAAATCCTTGCTTGGTTTCTTTCTCCGTTGGTCGGATATTTCCCCGCGAGTGGTGCACCATAAACTCTTTCGTAGTGTTGTCGGAGGGAATTTTCGACTTTTCTATCACTCTAGTCTTATTAGCCTTGGATCAAATACCTTGGTGCAAGGGGACAACTTACACCCTCGCAAAGAACTCCGCTGATGTCCTCGCGCCATCGGCAATAGATCTCTCCGGGGACGAGGTGTAGGGATCCATCCTGTGTTGATTAGTTTCGTTCTGAGAACGGATACGCGAAAGTGACCACAAACCTGGTAGTCAAGTGGCGGTAGTTTATCATCAGGGCGACCATTTCTAGAGGCGTAGCGTTTGTAATCTTCGCTGTCTTTGAAGTCCATCGCGAAATGTTGATGCTGCTCAAGCTATGAAACCTGGTGGTGAGGTGAAACTATGAAGTAGTGAGATGGTTGAGGAAGAAGGGAGTAAGGTATAGAGAACTGAAAAGATGAGCTTTGTTTTCAATCGCGATAGACTATCACATAAGGGGGCCGAACATTGCCAGCTGGGGATGCAGGAGTCTTCAAGTTGTGCAGTGTCAGGGAGTGTAAAGGGCTGTCAACAGTTGTTAACACTGCAGCGTGATGTATTACCGACATAACGTAGAGAAGCAGACAACTTGATAGCCTAGGAGCTCAGACAATACAGTTAGTCGTGAGTTTATTCCATCAGCACCCTACTTACCACTAACATCATCATCGGGATTTGACAATGTCCCACCGGCATTATACCAATAGCGTCACTTTCTAGCATACAGATTCATCATCTTCTTGGTTACATAGCAGTATCAGTTCTTATGCCTCAAGAGCGTAGCATTTTCCCGCATCCTCGTCTATAATGTGCTCCTTAACGGCCGAGGGCAGCAACCCGTTGTGGTTTTGCTTGCACGGGTCTAAGCCTACCAACGCTTCCAAGGACCAGCATAATGCCAAGCTGGTCACAGACAACGTCCCTCTGAAGCCACAGAAAACCCAAACACGAGCCTGGAAACAGAGCTAGAGCGGACCAGGAAACTCGTTCCTGAGTGTCGGGCCATAGACAAAGGGGAGAAGGTGATAAAAGTCTACGCTGAACGTAAAGACAGGTTTATCTTTAGCTAATTCATTTTGATTGCTCTTCTAAACCAGTTGTACTCTTTTCATGGAGCCCTCATGATTTCTTTTCTACCTCAACTGGTTCCTTCGTTTTGGTGTACCCCTGAGTGTCACTTTCTTATGCTTTCATCCACCTCGCTCCCATCGCCTTACCCCTCAAGCCGCATATATCGAGTCTTGATATCTCCCATCCTCTTCCAAGCTGCTCTCTAGTCTCTTGAGCCTTGAACTCTCATCTTCTCGACTCATTGTAAACGGCCAACCAACCACAGGTGGCCGCGACCATCATTTCTATAACCGGATCAGCCTCCTGATAGTGGGCCACTGCCTACAATGCTTCAACGACGTTCTAAACCAGGCTTCTCGAAATATCAAGACAGAAGGGCTTGTCACGAGTCTATTGGGAGGTACACTCCTGTTGATTAGCCTGTTGGAAGATTGCTTACCATTGGTACCCCTGTGTTGACAGACAACCCGGTGCTGGTTAACAGACAACTCTGACCTGGCTTCTATGATGCTACCAAAGCCCGTCAATCTTTAGATACCTTTGGAAGGAAAAGATACCTAAGACCTTGAATTAGGCAAAGTAGTCATAAAGCTCCCCTAAGTTTATCCTAAATTTACCTAATTCTTTTGACCACTTAGGATAAGTATCTTCAGTTTTATGACCTTTACTGTCTTACCTCCGTGCACTAGATCTTCCGCAACATCCTCGGCGAGTCTCAAGAACCCTTTTCTGGCGTATCAAGTCCCTACAGGTCCATAACAATCACATCAAGTAAGTACATCGAATCACTTAAGTTAAACAAACTATTGCTGTTCCTTTTACACACGTCGATGGCCCCCTTTGATTATTTACAATGGCAACACTAACTTGCTTCTCCTAAGTGACCAATATTATCGTTGTCAGTCATACGAGAACCCTCGGAATGCGACTGACTTCCCCATAAGTGAGGAGTCACCCCTTGTCTTGAAACAGGTTATCGAAGCAATCAGATAATTACCTCTCAGAGAATTGTCTCTCAACCTCACATTTGCTTTGCTGGCTGGTATTTTGGCCCTTGTGGCAGAGCTTAATCACCCCGATCCACGAATAAGCCTGATAAATGTTACTCGGCAACGAGCATCGAGGGGCCACGAGTCTACTAAGACCTGTTGAGCCATCGACTGGTTGTTTATGCAAGCGTGGTGAGTTGCGGTCGCTAAACTGCAATGTCACTATCACTGCCGCATGCGGTATCGCATTTCTCAACTAACTGAGAAACCCTCAATGACATACCCGCTAGTCCGAATGATGCAGACCTGCTCCATCGCGACACCATATGGTACACAATCACCTCATATCAAAGGTTCGTCATTGCAAGTCGCTCTTGAACACTTTCTTGTACTTGATTCACTGGCTACCCTGTTTACCCCTTGAGGGAATATAGTCTCACCGGTTCATCTCGAAGGGATTGAAGTGACATGGTCCAGCTTAGTCGCGCTGACTGGTGTGAATAGGCCACCATAAGTTGGACTCTAGACTGTAGCTGTCACTATCGATCATTATCATTATAAACTCTTTCAAAGACTTATCGTTAACCTTGACTTGCTTGCCAGTTACATAGACTAATGATATATGGGGGAAGCAATACTAGAGTTGCTCGTGAACAAGCTTGGAATTTGGATTACCTTTCAGTTGTTCTCCTCTTGATGTTTAAATATGCCATTGAGGTATGTTGTTACTGGTAAGAGTCACACTTTACGCAAAAATAGTAACAACCTCTGGGTAACAGTAAGGCATCTGAGGTTGACATGCCATCTCCTGATATGGTGGCCCATGGTTCCTACCTTAGGTTGAATGAGGTTCGACCACCCACTCCTTTCCCAATCAGCCAAACAGATCTTGTCCCTCTCGGGCGTTCAAGACCTTAATTGCAAAATCCAACAGTGCGGTAGAACGTCGGGGCAGTACCATCATTAACATGCCGTCTTTGCTTTTACGCAGGTTACCGTTTGCCATATCTGCTACGCTACGCATTCTGACTCCTGAGGTAGCTGAGTAGCTTTCCCATAAGCATTTATCCAACAACAAGCTGCCAACATCGCCACAGTAATTGAAGTCGTCAACACCCAAAGAAAACTGGCGCATATTGAAACGGAGTCTTATTCCAAGAAACAAACAGTTAGTATAATCATTGTTTCTTTGATCAGCCACTCACAAAGGGTACAGGTTCACCATGAAGTACAAGCTCCTTAAGACTGAGGTGCACAAGCTGCAAGACGGATCCCCTGGACGCGACGACGAGGCCATTCTCGAGAAGCTTCTTTCACTCCAGGTCATTGATGTTCGACAACTCTCTCAAATGCCCGACTTCCGAACTGCAAGCGCTGCATGAAACTGATGTGGAGTTCCCTCGAGGAAAGTAAGGGCGAAACGTAGTACTGCCCTTGGGTCGGCAACCGCACTATGGAGGTTGCCCAGCAGCATATCATCGCTCGGGCCACTTTCGCTCTTGAGGCGGTCCATGCTTGTCAACGCATTCGGGATGAGAGTTCAAACATGGGTTTGACTCTAATTGGGCCGAGGAGATGGCGGATGAGGGAGATGGCAACTGATAGTCACATGGTCTGAGTTCTTGTCGTCATAAACCGAGCAAGGCTATGGAATTCTCTGGTGGACCGATATCGGGAATTGATTGTAACAAATACAGTTACAATATACACATGACGATATACCGAATGCAGTCAGTTCAAGTAGTTCAGATCAACATGAAACGCCTTGTTTAAATCCATTTGTAGAATGAGGGTGCAATCTTCCATTCACCAAGCGGTGAAGTGTATCTTGAAAGCAAAGTTACGAAGTATCGTCACTGCACCAAGTACTGAGGACGCAACAGCCGATCGTCCGAATTCCCGTGCTCTATCAGGCGTCTGATGTGCCGTCACATAGGTTCCCTAGAGCTCTACCGCGCTATCGGAATGTTGCACCGTTTCAATTCCATGAAGGAAATACGGCCTCTGATATTTTCGATATGTTCTAAAGAGCCCCTTAAAGGTACTAGACTTTATGAAAGGGACATACTAGCCGACTTCTAATTCCCAAACGATATGAAAATACCTGCTGAAGATCACGAAACTTAAGAAATGCCAACAGCCCGAAGAATATACGGTTATATATCGTGATCTTGAACTATAGGTTAAGCCGTGATGGAGTGGCGGATGTTTCAAGATCTAAAAAGGAATTGAGACAATAATCACGTGAAAGTTCATGCAAACAAGGGTCCCGGTTGATTCCAAAACATCCATGCATATCAGATCAAGGCACCACACCACGCCGCAGATGCTTACATCCGACCTGAGCGCCGAACTTGCTAACTTTTGGCTGGGACGTTACACAAATGGTGAGAGTGATTGGCCACATTTTTACAATTGTTTCTGAAGTACTTTCGCATCCAGTGAACTGTTTTCTGGCAGCCGTTATGGTCCAAAAATACGGTTGAAATCTCGGCGATTGATAGTGGGCTTGATCCATTGGGAAGAACAATTGCCATTGATTGGTCGGAAGGGAGGTAAATGCGCCGTGTGGCCAACTCCGAATCTTGGTCTAAATCCGGGGGCGGGGAGAACTTCGACAGCACCGCGTGGTTGTGGCTCGGGGATAAGGCAATGGCTGCAGGAGAGGTGAACGGGGCGTTGTTAGCAGTCAGAAGCAGTTAGCTATGAGGTCATGAGGCTTGTCAGTTGAAGCATAACCAAGGTCATGGTTTCGAGTCAGTTCTCCATTGTAGTTGAGATAGAAGTCCAAGGCTGGCCATTAGCCATTACAGCAAGAAAACGACATTCTGTCGCAGTTGGAGAAGCATTGTGCCGTTCAGGAGGAATTGCCACAGTCAAACAAGACCAGAGAGGGAGAAAGCTTGAGAGACTCGTGCACAACGTCGAAGGGCGTGCATGTCAATTAATAGTATCTGCCGAAAACGATCGGGTATAAGTCGGTCACAGGCAACGTGCCAATGGATGAAAGCTCATGGCCAAATGTCTTTTATTGTGAGTCAGAGCCTCAGACGATTGAGAAGAGAGAAAGACGGACAACAATATGCTCATGGCTCGTTTTGGCATGGCCTAGATGGGCTTTTTGTTTCGCCCTCTCTGTTGTAAGATATCCATGGGTCCCGAGGACCGGTAGCCCCGGCTGACAAATGCAACTTTGACCCTATTCGCACTGTCAAGAGTTCACGTTCCTGTACCCAGCCTCTCTCAGAAACTCGCTGACCCCCACCCAGAATGGTTCCTGTTCAGGGTCTAGTGAGCTGATGGAAGAATGAACTAGAAGGAATCTTTGTGACTCAGGCAGCAAATTTTCTAGTCGGACGCTCCGTATTGGACCCTTGCCTGCGTGCTCTGTTACGCGTTGATACAGTATCTACAGTGCGATTCAACGCCCGCTCAGCTGCCCCCGCTCTACTGCAGCCATCCATCTCACTCGATTTCCCTTCCTCGCCCATTCTTGGCTCCGCCTGACACCAGCAATCACCGATTTCATCATCAATCTTACATACTGTTACATACCGTAGTAGCTTCAGTTTCTATTCTGTCCTTTGCGGCTTGAATCCGAAAACTCCGTCTTCTTATTTTCAACTTTGCCTTCTCTGCTCATCGCTTTTTGACGATTATATGCCAGTATCGTAACCCATCAGAAGCCCGCCCCGCTCGTCTAGGTCCCCGACGTCGCCGCTACACAGGCTACAGGCACAGACAGGCTCTGGTCTGGCTCTTTGTCCCCTCCTGCGTGAGCCTGGACTGGCAGAGAGCTCGAGTCTATAATCAAACCGCGCGACATCAGTTTCGTTTGCCTCGATTTCAAATCGTTCCTCACCGTCACGCCTCTTTTCGATCGCACGTTTCATATTTCGCGATGGCTTCTACCGGTACTGGAGGCACTTTGCCACCCAACTTTCTCTTGACCCCGCAACAGCAGAACCTGCTCTTCGCTGCTCTCAACTCCAACAAGCAGCAGCTCGCTGGTTCTTCTGCGGACAATTCTCTGTCACATTCTCCCACGACGTTCCGCAACACTGCTGGCCAGCCAAAAACCGCTACCGCTACCGCTACAGGTTACCAGGAGAGTCCTTTCCTCGACAATTACGATTATGACTTTGGCGATTCTGGTTTCGACTTCTCCTTCGCCAGTGAGGACCAGCCTTCCATGATTGGGGATCTTCCCGCTGCTTCAACCGAGCCCAACAACAACTCTGGTTCTGTCGCTCTCTCCGACTCCCCAGAGACTGAGACTCCAGAGAAGCGCAGCTACCCCGACGACGAGGATGATGAAGATAGCCCAGGCCAGGATCACAAGCGCCGCGAGAGTACCGACAAGGTTCCTAAGAAGCCCGGTCGTAAGCCTCTTACATCCGAGCCCAGCTCGGTATGTTTTATCACTTGATTACATATAAAACTCACTTACTAATCCATATAATAGAAGCGCAAGGCTCAAAACCGAGCCGCTCAGCGTGCTTTCAGAGAACGCAAGGAGAAGCACTTGAAGGATCTTGAGACCAAGGTTGAAGAATTAGAGAAGGCTTCGCAGGCTGCCAACCATGAGAATGGCATGCTTCGAGCCCAGGTTGAGCGCATGACAGCTGAACTCCACCAGTATAAGCAGAAGGTCACAGTGATGTCAACTACGAAGTCACTGCCCAGAGAAAAGGTTCCTTTCGGCAGCGCTGCCGTCAGCAACCTTGGCGATGTTAACTTTCAGTTCGAGTTTCCCAAGTTTGGCATGCTTCCAGGACCACCTGTCAACAAGACTGGCTCATCGCCTACAAGCCCAGATCAGCAAAAGGTCACATACCCAAGCCCTACCAACAGCCTCAACAACACCACGCAATCCGCACAACAATTCAAGGATGACTTGGCCAAGTTCTCGGGTGTCTTCAGCCCTTCCATGTCAAGCTCTGCCACCAACCCCTCTCGTGCGAGTGTTGACTCTGCAAACTACAGCGTCAATGGCGCTTCCAGCTCCCCATCTGCTTCATCTCATTCAAACACTGGTCCCAGCTCTTCTTGCGGAACGTCGCCTGAGCCTTTCAACCAGTCTCCTATGGGCTTTAAGCCCGTTGATACGATGACTACCATTGGTGAGGAGCAGATACATCAGAACAGCAACAACAGCAACCTCAGTCAATTCGGCAACGTCGATCTCAACAGCACCAACTTTGACTGGCTGTCACAACAGAATGGTGGACAGTTTGACCCACAGCTCTTTGGTGATTACCGCGAGCCTCAAGAAAACGTACTGGCAAACCCATCCTTCGACGACTTTTTCAACGATGCTCTTGATAGCGATTTCTTTACTCCTTACAACATGGCTCCTAACAGCCCCAACGCGCATCTCAATGGCCAGGCGAAGAAGCCATCGAACCTGATTGATCAGATCGATGCTCAAAAGGAGTCCGATGACGAACCTCTTAAGAAGCAGAACATGAACTGCAACCAACTTTGGTACGTATCAGCGTATAAATTAAGGGAGTGTTTGTATCTAACCAATTTCTACAGGGAGAAACTTCAAGCTTGCCCCAAGGCTCAGAACGGTGAATTTGATCTTGATGGCCTCTGCTCCGAACTTACCAAGAAGGCTAAGTGCTCTGGCACTGGTCCTGTGGTTGCTGAGACCGACTTTGACACCATTCTGCAAAAATATATGGGCAAAGACGTCTCAAGTAGTTGTGTCGCTCAACAGTTGGGTGTGGAAATAAAGTCGAGTGAACCAAAGCAAGATAAGCATCTTGGTCTGTCAATTTGAGACCAGTTTATGAACAAAGATTCGGCTGTACACTACAAACTTCGGCGGCATACCCAGCACACAGCTACACAATGATTAAGGCGTTTATAACAGACAGGATGGAATCGGAAAACCAAGGGATTCCGGCGCTTGATTTACCTCCGTCAACGGAATTGGATGCATGGAAAGGAGAAAGGATGATCTATGGCATGATTATGTAGCATGCCATGAAATCTTCGACCTGTTAACTCAGCTTGAAATTTCTTTGGGGATTTACTTACGCTTTGTTTTTGGATGGACATTTTTTGCTGCTATGAATAATTATGACTTATTTCTGGTTTCAACTGTCAAGGGCTTAACAGGGGATATATGATGATCACTGTGACTTGGCAACGCACATGCTGATCAGATATGTACATCAAAGGGACTATTCAACTTTCATTACTACGTAAAGATGATTACTGTATTTGGAGACGCTCTTTGTGACACCAGTTAATATTAGCATTCAAGGATATAAATTGCACGCTACAGCAGCAACTTGGAGCCAATCTGCAACGCCCAGACCCTGCATAAGTCAGTAAATGTAAGACCTGAAAAGTTTCATCCACATGTACAAGATCGCCGTGACATCATTTTTAAGTCTATTATTGACTGAAAGCTGTTGTGATTTTTATCATGACATCTAATCTTAGTCATCAAGTGGAGCCGGCTGATCGCGAGAAGGAAGCTTCAGCCAGGCCAAACCATCCTGAACAGGTCGTACTCAGCTTACAACAACTTCTTACATTTCCTACCGAAATCCCTTATTTCTTGTTATTAGCATTCAGAAGCGAACCTTGGCAAATTCTTCACAATCCCAATCCAAGCCGCGCGCATAATCCCGGTCTCTGTACTTCACAATGCCAAAAGAGAAGAATTACAACCCTGTGCAGGCTCAGCGCAAAGCTGACAAGGCGAAAGCTCTCAAGAAAGGTGAGACGGGTTCTGATGATAGCAGTTCACCATCTAATCGGAATTGCAGGCAAGCATGAAAGACAAGAACGCTTAAACGAGAAGCTGTCGCGAAAGAACCCCGAGCGCATTCAAAAACAGATTGACGACCTCAAGAAAATCACATCAAGCGGTGGCAAGCTTACTCGTCACGAGGAACAAACATTAGAAGGGCTCGAAAAGGAACTTAAAGCAGTGAAGAAGGCCAGAGAAGCACTGGGCGACAAAGCACCAGCATTCAGTCGAGGATGGAACAGAGATCACGATTCAGGATCTGGGGTATTAGGGAAGAGGCGCAGAGGTTCTAATGATGCTACTACAAGCGACGAAGAAGTCCCCGACGACGTCAAGAGTATTCCTATGCCTCGGGATACGCCACCACCGATTCCCAAAGAAGTCATGGACAAATGGTATGCTGAACGACGAGCAAGGAGGGCTGCAGAGAACCCAACAAGACCAGACGGCGAGGACAAACAACAAAGAAAGGAAGCGCCAGTCGTTGAAGCGAAAACAGTATACGAGGCAAAGCCTGTGGTGCGCGATCTCAGGAAAGAAGCTGTTTCGGCATTTGTGCCTACGGCAGTTAAGATGAAGATGAACAAAGGACAAGGCCAAGGAGGATTGATAGAGCCGGAAGAAGCAGATCGACTAGAACAAGAGGGCTATCTCAAAACGGGAGATCGCAATACGGAAGCAAAACCCGATCAAGGCCAATCATCACGGCATGTGACTATGGAGGATGTGGAAGACGAGGAGGCTTGATTCTGGAGCGGAGGTTAGTTCATTTATGGTGCCATTGATGCAATTGACAGATAGTAATGCATAATTCCCGACAGAATGCTTCCCAAAAAGGAGATAATTGGGCGAACCCATTCAATTACGACTTTTCAAGCCTATCAGAAGAGCGATGTGACTCAGACCAACAACAAGCCCGAGGGGTTGAGGCCGGTTAACACAGCGGAAAAAAGCTGGGGTAAAGGACCCATCTGACCACTCACAATTCAATGACAGAAGACCAAGTGCGTTGACCATCTTCACCGATAACGTTCCCCGTTTCTGAGGAGAAAAGAGAGGGCAATGGCAATGGCAATGGCAATTGGGCTGCATTAACAATGGGGCTTGTCTTGAGAAGGCGTCGACCATGCTTTGGGTTTAGACCCAACGGGTTTCTCTCAGTTGGATTACGACCGTATATATCCGTGTAAGGGGTGGAGCTCAAGAACCTTGACGAGCAAATGATGAGTTTTCATTACTCTCATGTCAACAAGAAACTCGTCCACTACGGCAATTCAGGCCGCACTCCGAAAGCGGGCCTGGCTTTTTCGACCCGGGGCCACGCCGAAATCCGATCATTCTTATATTTAAGCATGTCTGATCTTTTGTTTTCGCCCCCGAGCTTTCAACTACATCTCTGATATGCTACGACAATTGTAAAAGAAGGAAGAAAAGCGCTAGGTATTCGGGGACGGAAAAGGAATAACGGAACATTACGATTGCTCAGAAACTCAATCATCAATGGATTGTCACCAAGTCACATCTCGCGCCCTCTACGAGGATGACGAGATCAACGATCATGTCAACCAGATCGACCAAGGAAACGAAAACAATGGCAAGACGGGGGCCGATCTAGAGAAGCAGCCGACTGCAGCATCGACAGCATCGTTCCAGGAAACGTATCCCGAGGGCGGCTTGCAGGCGTGGTCCGTGGTCGCTGGTTCGTGGTTCTCTCTATTCGCTTCGCTTGGACTAATGAACACCCTCGGCACTTTTCAGGCCTATGTTCTCGACAACCAACTCACAGAGTATAGCGAGGGTACTGTTGGTTGGGTCTTTTCTATCTACACCTTTCTCGCCTTCTTCTGCGGTGTGTACATTGGTCCTGTCTTTGATAAGTATGGTCCCAGATGGCTTGTCATTGCTGGGGCTGCGTTCACCGTTGGTGGCATGATCTTTATGAGTTTTGCAACTGGTAAGTCTTCCCCAACATTGTAGGTTTGATGTGCTGACTGTTATAGAACTCTGGCACTTTATCGTCGCCTTTGGCCTCCTCTGTGGTTTTGGTTCATCGCTACTCTTCACCCCTTCGATCGCTGCTGTAGGCCACTTCTTCAAGGCTCGACGTGGACTTGCAACTGGCGTTGCATCTACTGCTGGTGGATTGGGCGGTATCATCTACCCCTTCATGTTGACGAGGCTAATCGATAAGATTGGTTACGGATGGGCAACTCGAGTTATTGCTCTCATCTGCCTCGTCTGCAGTTTGATCGGTATCTGTCTTCTCAAATCTCGACTTCCGCCCGCTAAGGACGCTACTGCGCACCCCAACTTTCTAATCTTCAAGAGTCTCCCTTTCCTCTTCACCACGATTGGCGTCTTCATGTTGGAATTCTCCCTCTTCATTCCTCTCGGCTACATCTCGACATATGCGCTGCACAAGGGCTTCGGAAAGGACTTTTCCTACAACCTCATCCCTATCCTCAACGCTGGTTCGGTCATCGGTCGACTTCTACCTGGCTACTATGCCGATGTGATCGGTCCTTTTAATGTCAGCATCCTGGCCGTGATCCTTGCCATTGTGGCCTGCTTCTGCGTATGGCTACCTCTTGGTGGAACCACAGCTGGTGTCATTATCTTCACGGTGCTCTTCGGTTTCTCCTCGGGAACTTCCATCGCCATTGCGCCTGTCTGTATCGGCCGACTGTGCAAGACGCAAGAGTATGGACGCTATTATGCTACGGCCTATACAATTGTGTCTTTTGCTTGTCTGATCGGTATTCCCATCGGCGGTAGCGTTGTCCAAGCCAACGGTGGTGAATACTGGGGACTTATCATCATGACTGGTGCCGTTTACGTGGCATCCATGATCTCACTGTTCCTGGCCAAGGTCACTCTTTTGGGCTGGCATAACTGGAAGGCTGCCCTTTGAACAATCTGTCATTCACACCAAGATCCACGATCTAACGGGATAGATTCTCGGGATTGAACGGCTGTCGTCTTTTATCGGAGACTGAACACAAAATCATGACACTATTCAAAAGTATTGCTATTATCTTGGGAAAGGAGTTCTGGATATTAAAAAGAGTTAAGAATGTGAATATCATTGCTGCGAGTCTTTGTACATAGATACCACAATACGTAGGAAAATATAATAGTTATTGTTTTGTATGCTTGTGCTCAGCTCCTTGTTGTTAAGAATCCTCTATCCGGGTATTCCACATTTTTCTTGAACCCGAGAACATGGCCTACTTCTGTGCCTTGATATGCTCACCGTGCAGCTCCTGCACGGCAGGAATGATGAGCGATTCAATCTCAACATCTGGTTCTTGACCTGGCAACTCCTCCGCCACAAGCGGCCTACCCTCCGCTTCTCCCCAGCCGCCCTCTCTCGGCACACGCACCCAGTTATCATCCCTCTTAGGACTCACAAATACAACTTCCCACTTGCGTGTGGATAGAAGATTGCCAATGACGAGATGGTGCTGATATCGGTCAAGACTGTAACGGGCCTTGCGCACAAGAAGCGCTGGATCCGTCTCAAGCTTGAAAGACACAATCATACCCTCTGGCGCCCATCCATCCACGAGATTCTTGAGAAACTTTGGGACAGGATCGAGGTCGATGACGAGGCGCTTTGAGCGTGGGACAGAAGGCGATGAGTCAAAGTTATCAAAAGTCTCTTCATCGTCTGGTCGCTTCTGCTCAACGGCGTTGGTTGACTGGATCTTGTGCTCGGCCATACGATCCGGGGGAACGAAGAAGTCCGACACGGCTGCGGCGAGGTATAGAAGACCGGATGGGCCAAGAGGGCGCATGAGTCGGGCAATTTCTCGCAGTTCATGGAGATAGTCGACAATGGTGACGAAGGGTAGTGTGAGAAGCATATTGTCATCCCTCGCCTTGCGATACTTTCGCAACACCTCTTGCATCTTATCCTGCACCTCACTCCTCACACCAATTCTGCCACTCCCATCTTCCGTCAAAAAGTCCAAGAAGCAGTCGGTAGCATGCGAATAATGTCGCGAGTACGGCAGCAGACTGAACTGACGATGGAGGAAGATGACGGCATATCCAGCTTCGAGAAAGTACTCGGCGCTCGTAGCACCACGAGTTCCAGCACTGAAGTTGTCGATGTACCGAACAGTCTGCTTCTCAAGAGGGACAGTAGTGCCGCCTGATGTGACGAGGACAACACGACGGCCCGCGGCGGCGTGGGAAGAAATGAAGCCAGCGGCGAGAGCCGTGTGGGCTGTTAAATTGCGCGGAGGAGGGTTTTGAGCAAAGTATGTCTGCTCGGAAGCGAGAGCCTCAGCAGCGGTGTTGGCAGGTGTAGCCATTTTGTTCGGTTGCTGTGAAAGTAGTGACCAATAATTTGGGCGAAACGAATGAGTGAAGAAGCTCCGGGGCGGAGGTGCGGAGGTCCGGGCGGGCGGCGGGCGGCGGGCAGCAGGCGGGGTTTAGTCTTTGACCGGGATCCGGAGGCGGAGACTAAGGTAGTAGAATGGAGAAAGCCTGGTAAAGGATAATAATGTAATGATGGTCCAAGAATTGAGAGGGGATGAGGAAGTGGAAATTGAGAGTTATTTATGCTCAGGTAGTTTTTGGTTCTTTAGTAAAATGCCCCATCGACTGTGACGGATACTACTTACGCATTTATCATCCCGGTGGGTTTGAAGTTGTGAGTCTGTAATCTTCAACACCTGACCTTCTGCAGTGTTGATTTTTTACCCTGAAATCACTCGGCTTATCTTTAATAGAAAATTATTGAATTACTCTGACATGAGACTCAAAATATGTCATCATCTCAATCGCTTGCTGTCCAGTAAGCAACCATGACTGATAAGCTGTAGTATACCTCGGTAACTAGTGCATTATCTCGGATCATACCATGTTCATTCCTCAAGACTTCCGAAGAAGGCTTCACTTATCTCAAGCAGTTCAGATCACCCTTAACTTCTCCGGGGTTACTGTGACTCCCTGGCTTATTATAAAGTCTCTATTATTGACCTCCTCACCAGTCCCAGTTCATTTGAGTGAGAGTCATGTACGGGGAGGTGAGGTGTAGAGGCAGGGAATGTGACAAGCCTCACTGATCTCAAAGGAAGTCATAGAAAAGTAAGTCATAGAAAAGTCTTTTCATAGCTTTCGAGCGCCTACTTTCAGCTGAAGAGTAGTACACTTTCGCGCAGATCCCCGAGGGCCTGCCAACAGAGAGGTCTTTCAGAGAAAGCTTTCCCCTTTAGCGTCATCTCATTTTCAAACTCGATACATTAGAACGTCTGCTAGCTAAGGTGCAAAGCATTTTGAATGAGAATTATTAAATGCGATAAATACTACCATTACGAGGGATATCAGGCTATAGACCAATGCAAACAACAAACCAAGCCTCCATCCTATGCCAATAAACAACCACAATTGCGCCCAACACCATACTGTACTTTCATCATACATGAAACATCACTCCTCCTTATCCTTGTTCTCCTCATCTTCATCATCCTCAGCTCCCCAGTCTCTCCATCCCTGACCCTGAAGCCAACTGACACCCTTTCGCCAGTTAGTCTCTCGAATTGCTTGAGCATCCTTCTCATAGACAACACCAGTGACCATGAGTGCCAGCATGAAGACCCAGACATCACCACCCTTCATGCTCTTCCACCAACGTCGCTTCACACCAACCTTCCAGAGACTGTCGACACTAGCGCGAGCGCTGTAAAGGAACAGTCCACGGCCATTTCGTCGCTCAACGAATGCCCAAAGCCCAGCGAAGAAACCACCAAGGAAGACACGCTGAGTCGCGAGGACGTGGCGTGGAAGCCATTGCTGGAAGAAGCAGATCGAAGCCCAGGCTGTGGAAAGCGCACCTGTCGCAAAGGTAGACATGCGGAGAGCCTTGGTGATGATGCGCTGAAGGGTCACCAGAGGGTTGTGATAAAGGCTGGAGAATCGAGGAATGACGGTAAGCGCAGAGAAGACTGCGACGAAGAAGCGAGCAAATGGCGGGAAAGTCTGAAGCCAGAAAGTGAGATAAGTTCGGGCACAAGATGGGTCTCCTGGGTGTAATGTGGCGCATGAGAGAGATGTGATGAGAGGATGAGCTCGAGATGTCAGTGGCGCAATTGCACTGAGGCTAGGAGGAAGAACCTCCTTGCCAGGGAAGAGAGTAGGGGAAACGTAGGCACTATAATGGTCAGCATGAAGCCTTTTTCTCTGGACTTGTTAACTTACGGCCAGCTCAGGCGCGCCATTTGAGCCAAGCTGTCAACGATCTCAGAAGTCTGAGGCCACTTGACGCTCGACGGCCAATCTTGCGGGCGCGGATGCAAGTATGCCGATGAGCTCTTGAAGATCAAGTCTCCAAAAGGTTTAGGGAAGCAATCACGATCGAAAACCGCCGCATGAAGTAGTTGTCCAAAAGCAAATGGCTGCAACATCCAACTTCCAAACCACCAAGGTCTCTCCCTCTTAACGCCATTCTTCCGGCCCCATATAAGGCCATCAGCCTCACAGAAATTGTAGGCAAACTCCAAAGCACGGAAGATTGTGTAAATGGCGATGGTGACACGCATCTTCTGAGCTGGGTAAATGCCAAGAGCCAGGCCAGCGAATGAGGCACCAATGGCGGGCGCAGAAGGAGATGTCAGCATCGCTACAGTTCGTGGATTGCGCGCACGGAAAGGCTCGACTTGAGGGTCGAGAAGATGCACACGCAGTCGAGTGAAGAAACGGAAGAGGATTCTGTAAAGGAGAAGAATGGTAGAAAGCGAGATAGACAGCCTCAGGGCAGGGGATTTGTAGAATGGTTTCTTTTTACCGCCAGTGCTGGGTCTGTCAAGAATCATTAGCCATTTGCGCACTTATTTCATCAGTGAGCTACTCACTCTTCTTTACCCATCCTCTTAGCGACAACATCCCATCCCTTCATTCCCAAGAAGGTCATCACAAACACCCTCAGCGCATGTCGCACCGTTCTAGCATTATAATCGTCGCCACCTTTTGGCGGTTGCAGCGCCTTTTCAACCCGGTTTGGCGTTGGTGTTGCGCGACGCAGAACACGGGAACGCGAGAGGATGTATTTGTGCAGAGCAGCATATTCGTGAGCTGAGATAGTGTAGCGCAACGTGTTTCGAAGGACAGGGTCGTTTGCAGCTCGTGAAGATCGCGAGCTCGAGGCGTCGCTTGAAGAGATGGAGGATTCCATTGTGATTAAGGAGCGGATGTTGTTGTTGTTGATAAAAGGATCGTGTTTGGCTAATTTATGGCGTGTCTGTAGTTCCACGAGCTGAGCTCCAGCGGCGCATTCGAGCAGTAGCTTCCGAGGGAGGCATCAAGTAAATGAATAAACCAATTTATTTGAATCAAAAAGGCCTGGACTTGGTTACACAGCTGAAGTGCTGAGGGTCCAGATCGAAGCTCTCACATCCAATCTGTTTGTTGATGAAGTGAAGTGAAGTGAAGTGACGAATGGTGGGAGGCACGGAAGGGATGAAATCACAAGAACTTGGAAATGAGCAAGACGACGTAGAGTGGAGAATTCGACCTCGGCTCTTGGTCTAAGCTGACCTAGGAGCCCACTATCTTTTTGGCATTCGCATATCGAGACCCTGCTAAGGCTATCCCAGTTAATTAAAGCAATGCTGAATTAGCGAATAGAGACACACGATATCGTTGCTTATGGGGTCATCTAACAGGGGTTCCCCGCCCTCGGTAGCTAAGTTGCTCTTCTCCAGCCGGACATCACCATCACATGAAATTCATTGATACGTTCAACTTTTTGAACTACCTAAAGAGGCTTGACTCCCGATAACACGCCCACTATGCGCATGAACAAGTCATATCGTCCCAAGGTACTTCACATAACGCATAAGTCAGTCTGGGGTATCAAACCAGTCGTGAAGAGGCTACCTAATGCTATCTCTCAAACGAGAGACATAACGACGCATACTCCATTTGATGCCAAAACTACCATTCCTTTTTAACTTCCAAAGTCACTATCATTCATCATAACCCCTTCATATCAGTCCAATCCAGTCCGGTCCAGTCCAGTTCCAGGCCATTGATGCCAGCCAGACCCAGGACGAGTGAGATTGAACCACCAGTCCTAGCAATATGAAATCATTAAATACTTTTTGTTTTCTTTTTCCTTCCCGTGCCTGCTACCGAAGTTTCCATTCGTTAAAAACATTCCTCGCTTTAAAGCAACCAATGTTGACATGCCCACCAACGCCGTTCATCAACCAAAACTCTCCAAAGAGCATCATATCCTCTCCCTAGTAAGCAGGATCACGGACGCCACCTTTTCATCCCGAAATCAAAAGTACTAGCTTTTGTCGAGAGACTGGGAAACCAGCCTCGGCTTTGTTTGCCATGTTTCTGCATATCGCCTTCCCGATTATCCAGCATCAACATAACCCACAATATCATCCATCAAATTGAAAAATCTGTAGCGTGAACCAAGTTGCTTAGGGGTAAGCTGCTTGAGTGCTTCTTTGAGGGCCCACGAAGGGAACCCAAGTGCGGCCAAGGGCTGGGCTCTCTGAAGGCCCAAAGGGCAGAATCTCCTCTCGCCAGCCCAGCGCACTCCAGAGACCGACATATCTCGGCTCAGGACTGGAAAGCTGTTGGGTGATGACGGCCCAGGCTGTGACTTGGTGGGTCTTAACTAGTTCAACGATCTGAAGCCGGCGTCGCTCTCTCTCAGCTACTGTGTCTTTGACCACGCGGTAGATTGCCTCTGCATTCGGCCATCCGTTGCCCTTGTTAGTCGCAGTCTCGAGCAGTGCCTTGAGAGTGTCAAATGGAAGATTGAGTAGAATGCGAGAAAGCACAGCATTGAAAGGAGTTCGTTGCTGTGACGCGCCCGAAGCGTCCGAAGCTGGCGAGACCTTGCCGTCAGTCAGGGAAAGGTCACCGAACTGAATACCAGAGATCTGCTGAGACAGACGTCCCTTGCCCTTGCCGAGATGCACGGATGTACCTCGAGCAATGGGTGGGGGCGAGAGCTTGCGGGTAGTGGCGTTGCTAGTCAGGGCAGTTTGTGGAAGACGAGCATAGCTCGACGGGTCGGTAACTGAAGTGTCAATCTTGAAAGTGGGGTTGGTGTTGCTTGCGATAAAAGAGACGATCTCGTTGAGAATAGCTCGAGATCCATCGCCGTACTTGAACACATCATAAGACCCCTCATCTCGGTGATCCTCCAAGGCGAACTCCAACGCCTTCTCAACTGTCTGCCAGTTCAGAAGTTGCACAGCAACCTCACAGCCGCGTCGCGTGACCGGGTCCCAGCGGAGGAGATGGCCGGCTGCAGCATACGAAAGAGCGAATTCGAAGCGGTCAATCAACTGGTTGTAATCAGCTGCAGCCTGCTTCATGCCCTCAGGAGGAGGGGAGAGGAGTGGCCATCCGTAAAGACAGTGAGCGGCCATATAAAACGACTCAGAGCGAATCCACTTGCTCTTGGTCTCGAGAATGATGGTGGGAAGAGACGGAACATTGGGGTGAGGTCGGGACTGCTTAGCGATGGCATTTGCGAGCTCAGCACTGCGAGAAAAGAGGATTCGGTGACCCGGAATGCGGACTGGAGCAGCTCTTTCATCCGCGTATCGAAGCTCCAAAACACAATCAGCAAATTCGGGAGATCCAAACTGTTGCACCAAATAACCAATCAGACCCTCAGCATCATCCATTGCAGACATCATGTGCGGGGGAGGTCCGGCATTCGGCATCATTCGCGGATACTCGGGACCACCAAACATTCTGCCTGGCTGGTTAGGAGACTGAGTTTCCTCTGGAGCAGGTACGCCATTTCGCGCTGGAGCTGAAGAAAACTGGTTGTAGACACTACCATCATCGGGAGGACCTGATGCCTGTGAACCATGATAGCTGTGTGGGGTTGGGGGGCCAAAATTGTTAGGGAAGGGAGGGAAAGAGTCAATCGGTCCGTAGGCCATAGTAGGTCTTCCATAGTTATCGAAAGTACTGACCGGAACCTGTTCTGCGCCATAGGGCATCATATGGGGGAAGCCGTTGGCACCAGGGGCCATGTAGGGTCGACCATCAGGACCTGTCATACCAGGAGGAGGGGCAATACCACTAGATGGAGGAGCAGGAGAGGAGCTCGTCGAACCGTGGAAAGCGCCGAAATGGATGCTGCCGTTGCTGTGATGAGCCTGGTGCATAGGCGGGCCGTTGGGCAGAGGAGCACGATGGCCACGCATATCGCCGTTCACGTTTGGTCCTAGAGGTCGAGCAGCAGGCTGGAAGGAAGGGGGCATCTGGTATCGGCCCGGTGGGACAGCGGAAGGAGGTCGGCCTTTGTTGGGCTTTGAAGGTGGATGGTTATCTAAATTCGAGTTATGAGTATTCGTGAGGGCTTGAAAAAAGTAAGGCTGCCTACCAGACAGAGTTTTGATTTCGCTCTTGCTTGAAACACCATTGGGCTTCTCGTTCACTCCGGCTGAAACCTTGTCGACTGATCGAGCCTCAACATCGACCTGGTTCTTGGGGGTGGGCTGATCAGAATGGCCTGAGACCACGGGGTTTTTGTGGATGTTTTCGTTCTCTTTGAAGGTGGTAGGATGTTCAGGGGCAGGTGTGGCTGCAATGAAAGAAATATGTGTAAGTAGGGGGTTTTGTGGTGTATCTCGAAGATGGGCGCGTCTGAAGTACTTACAGGAAGAAGCCTGGGCGTTGGTCGAGTCAGAGGCGCCGTTCTTTGTCTCTTTGTGAGCGTCTGCCTTTGTATCGGCCACCTCCTTCTCGGCTTTGAAGGTCGAGGTCGAAGTAGGAGTAGCAATTGTGCTTGTAGCCGTAGCCGCAGAATCATCCTTCATAACCTCAGCAGAAACGTTACCATTTACGTGCTTCACCTCAGTGGGTGAGCGCACATCCGGTTCCTGGGTCGTGGTGGAGGCAGCAGTCGAAGAAACGGGGACAGCATTGGCACGAGCAGCAGCAGAAGCGGCCTGACGCTTCACATAAGGCAGTGGGATAGCAGGCATAACAGGCTTGGAGGACTGAGAGAGCTTGCTCCCGCCATTTCGGCGAGTCTTCATATTGCCGTTTTGGGGCGCCATTTCATGGGCGAGATCGTTGACGGTTCGGCGGGGAAGGTATCGGCGGGCGATCAGCTAGCCAGCGCCAGGCCTCAACAGAGGATTCGGAGGGAGGGAGGCTCTACGGATCTAGAGGAAGAGGCATGGAGAGCAGACGTCTTCGTTTTGACTGAAGTGCCCTTGTGTCGAATCTGGGCTGAAGGGTAAGGTAGTGGCCTGTATCGGAGGCGAACTGGCGATGCACTAGAAATGAGGGTCCAGGTGCAGCTGTTTGTGCGGAGAGCAAGAGCTCAAGTAGGAGCGGGTTTCGATGACGGGTGTGTATCGTAAGGAGGGTGAATTAAGGAATGAAAGGCAACAAACCACAGGGCTTATAGGAGATAAGGTGCTGCAGCAGGTGATGAATAGGGAGAATTATGCTGTGAGAATTTCACCAACCTGGAAACCCGGATGATGATGATGATGTCGAGGAGGTGCTTCCAACGGCTTCCAAACGATGGAGACGAGTCGCAAGGTAACAAAAATTGGGGCTTTCGTCACAATTTTTCTTGTAGACCTCAGACTTCAGACCTCAGACCTCCCCGCCGTGCCGTAGGTGCCCGCGTTAAGACTTGCGCTAAACTTCAGGGGCCTTGAGTGGGCTAGTGCAGCAGCCAACAATATTCCCGCCCGCCGGGTAGTAACCAACAAATAAAGGTTGAGCTTCCGCGGTGAACAGTCATCAGCCCGGCTTCCGACATTTAACTCTGATTTCAGCCTTGTTTGAGGGTTTCAATAGGCTGGGTTTGTTGTTTGTCTACGGAGCTTATGCTTGTTGCCTATCAAAAGAGCGGCTGCCTACTTTGTTGGTTCCGTTTGACTTTGCTTTGCTTTGCCTCAACTGGTTCTCGCAGGCGGATACGCACTTGATACAAAAGCAATGTTGCGTTGAGGTCTACCCATTTGATGTATTAAAGTCTCTATCCGATAAATCACACCAGATGTAGGCAAATGAGCTGATCACAATCAAATTGAAACCCATCAAGTAAACGCTCAGTGAATGCCCTGAAACGCCATATCGAGACGTGAGTCCTCTGATATCTGGCTTGTTAACCTATTGCGCCCGCCAATCCGCCAGTAATAAAACAAAAACTAGAATTAGATGAACATGAAGCCCCCCCAGAATAAAACTCTCCCCAATTACTCATCTCCGCTAACAAGTCTAGCGACAAGGACGTAGAAGAAGATAGCCGCACCAGCAACAAGGAGCTTGTTGCGATAGATCCATCCTGTGCTGGCATCTCTTTGTTGGTTGACCACATCAACAACGGCTTGTGTTTGATGACCGCTAGTCCCTGAAATACCAAGCTGAGGTCGACAGGATCCGCTGTTATCAGCATCTAATCGGGTACCGGTGACAGGGTCAACCTTGTTCTTGGTCATCCACTCCCAATTCTCAGCATCCACCTCTGGCCACTCTGTTCGAAACTTGGCGCCACCGTCACCAGCCTTGATGTTGCCCTTCTGGACTGGGCCTGTCTTGCTGTGTGTGCCATTACCGGTCGAGTTCCACCATCGCGATCGAGCGGCGAGGGAGCGTCGTTCGGCGGTGGTGCTAGAAACGGAGCCGGTTGTCATCTCTTCACTCGTCATGAATGAGAGAAGGCCAATTAGAATAGTTGAGACTTCCCAAGCGGGGTTGAATGACTTCGGGTGGAAATCGGAGATGGACAGACATAGTCGCGATGAAGGCTGGAATCGGCCGGACGGAGTGTGCATGCGAATGGCGGGAGGAGCAAACGGATAGTTTGGGGGGAACATGAGAGTACCCCAATATTGACCGCCATGGTAAGGAGTATCCTCAGGACCGGTAATGATGTAGTGCCATCTAAGTTGTGTTAGCAAAGTCGACTCTCGACCAAATGTTGGGCGTGACGTAACGTACTCAAGGATGTTGGACTCGGATGGATGAGCGACAATGTAAGGAGGAGGGTTCTCTGAAATGGTTTTGTATTCGCGTGTCAACTATCCAATAATTAGATTGCACATTCAAAGTGGTGGGAGTAGAAGTGCATACACGTTTGGTGGCGCCTTTGCTAGCCATGCTGACGATCTGAATGTGTTGGGCTTAGAAGTTGACAAAGAGAAGGGGACAGATTGCGGGTCGCGTGAGTAGGATCGAGGTTGAAGAAATTAGCGAATTAAAGGAAAGGAACGAGTATTTGTGAAACTCGTGTGAAATGGAAGAGAAAGTTTGCTCTAAAAACTCAAAAGCAGCGATATCTTATGCTTGAGCGCAAATGAAGAGTGTATAAGTTGAGATGAATGGAGAGGAACGCAGGAGGAGGCATCCTTTCCCAGGCACAGTGGTCCCGCTAGGTCCGGATAGTTTGTGGCTGTGTATCACATGCCGTCCTATGACGAAGTTAGAACGCCACAACTTCGAGCCACAGGCCTCAGGGCCCACACACGCGGGAGCTCGGGAAGTACGTACCAGCGATTAATTGGAAGCTGGGCTGGTCAGGGTCCAGTTGGTGGTCCGATATTCTTTAAATCGACATCGTGAGGCTATTACAAGCAAAAACTCGGCTCTTGAGCTACCAAAAATGGCTGCAATTCCTGGGTCAACAGGGGGTCCGGTAATTCCATCCCACCATTGAAACATGGAGAGCGACTATCTAACATGAATCAGTCTATGGACCCCTTTAACAAGCTTCATTCCGACACCGGTTCTTTGTTGCATGAAGCAGAATCGAAGCCCGAATTCCAAAAAGAGCAAGATGAAGCCAAACAACGGCGTCTGGCTCAGGTGGTATGTTCTCTTATCGATCCGAGCTTCAGATCATTTGTTAATGCTGTGCAGATTGGTGACCAGCAACTGGCGCCCATGACCATCAACGAGCTTCGAATCCACGGTGCGGTCAACACACGAACGAACTTCCTCGATCCCATTTTCCAACCCCTCATTGCCGATGCCTCGAATGCGAGCTCGACTGTTGGCGATGTTATCAACAGTCTCCGTATCGCAAGCAACAAGCTCGATGGACTACGTATGATTTCCGGTAGTCCTCACCGCAACACCAAATTAATTGATTTACAGAAATATTCCAACCTCAACCCGAAGTCTACCTCACCTCTGCCCAACAAACCGATCCTTCTACCTCCCCCACCGATGTGAACGTCGATATCCGAGTCAAGGAGCTGTCTCGATTCAAGCTTCAAACTGGTACCGACGTTGGCAATGGAGAGGGATCCGCTTATGGTTCGCTATTATGGCGAAACATGTTTGGTGGTGCTGAGATGTTGACGCTTAATGCAAAGGCTGGTACGCGTACGCGCTCAGCTTATAGCGCCACTCTTACCGCACCTGTCAAAAGTAACCCTGACATGAGGTTATCGCTTGAGGGTGTGGCTTCAGCCGCTGAAAAGCCATGGGCTTCTCATGAAGAGGTCCTCAAGGGCGGTACACTGCGATTCTCGTGGCTCAATCAACAACGCGATACACAGTCCGTTGAGTATTCGGGCATCTGGAGGCAGATTACTGGTTTGGCTGAAAACGCTAGCCCAACGGTCCGCGCAGATGCTGGTGACTCGATTAAGAGCTCTATCAAGCACACATTCTACAGGGAAAGGCGTGATAACCCTCAACTTCCTCAGAGCGGATACATGCTCCGATCTGGACTTGAGGTAGCTGGTCTTGGTCCACTTGCTGGTGATGTTGCTTTTTCAAAGGGTGAGGTCGAAGTCGGTGGTGCTGTCCCAATTCCTCTACCAGGCATTCGTGAGCGAACAGGAATCTCGATGGGCGGTGGCCTGAGACTAGGTTTGCTTTGCCCATTGCCTCTTGGTTATGAGTTTGCTGGAAAGCTTCGCCCTACTCGAATCAACGATCGCTTCCAACTTGGAGGACCAACAGATGTTCGAGGCTTCAAGCTCGGAGGTCTAGGCCCCCATGATGGTTCTGACTCTGTCGGAGGCGATGTCTTTGCTGCTGGCAGTGTCAATATGCTCCTCCCCGTTCCCTACAAGGGACCAGATTCCGGTCTACGATTCCAGCTCTTTGCTAACGGTGGTCGTCTCATCGCTCTCAAGGACAACAAGAAGTCCTCTAGCAGTGGTTCCACGCAAGAGCTGACTGGGGCTGCTGTCCGAAATGGCATGGTGAACGCAGTTGGTGAGCTCTTCAACGGTGTTCCCAGTGTTGCTGCTGGTGTTGGCCTTGTTTATGCTCATCCTGTTGCTCGTTTCGAGCTGAACTTCAGTTTGCCTTTGGCTCTGAGGAAAGGAGAGGCTTCAACGAAGGGGCTGCAGGTCGGCGTGGGAATCAACTTTTTGTAAAAACATAGATATCCTTATGACTGAAATACCACTCTTGCATTTCAAATCCCAAATTATTGCTGTTCATGGGGACTGGTCATGAGTTGCTCTTATGGTCCTTTGTGGTGTTTCAGTAGATAGCTCACATTCGCCCCTCTATATGATTCAGAACATCTCCATTCGATAGACACGTCAGGGCTTATGATCGAATAAGTGTATTCAAATGATACGTTGAGGGAACTTCACATGTCATAGTAGTATTCCTTTATATCTTACATCTTAGTTCTAACACAGACTAGTTGTTGGGAGTAGGAACGCACACAGAAAATACACAGTTGTTGTAAGACCTTCAGCCTCGATGTCAGAATGCATCACCGAGCCATGGCGTGTATTCGTGATACCTAGTCTGTCGGACTTACTGTAGCTATGGGGTGAACTTTGGATGGGTTCACACAGAAAATATCCAGAGACCTACTCAGCCACGGCTGTTGCTGAACATCAAACAGAGGAGTGCTTTAGTTGAACTGAGTTACAGATTAGCAGTAACATAAATTTAAGTGGGTGGCGTCCTTCTGCCAGAAACACTTCTGTTATAGACAAATTCGTTGTAGAGTGGCTCTAGGTTAGCTTGAGGTTTCCATGATGAGAAATGAAACACTTTCTTATGAAGTTTCACATATATGTATATATGCTGACTTGTTAGTTCGATAATAGGTCATATATCTTATCAGTATGTAATGTTATGTTTGATGTTTCTTGTGTTGTTTATGAGGCCTAGTAGAAATATCGAGAAAGTGACTTGGATTAAACGTCCTACTTGATGTTGCTATAAGGCTCCGGTTAACATTAAACAGGATCGCAATTCTTCAGGTCTAGCTCGCTCGAATAAGGAAAGTCAATAGCCGCAGCATGTAGCTGGGACGCTCGTCAATTGTTGTGTTTCGAACAACATACTGTTACGTGCCTGACTTTACAAAACACTACCTCGACCGCCAAACTGTCAACAGTGCAATTACCAAAACGTTAGGTGAAAGTCCTTTTCACTTATTTATTTAAATACCTTTGTGTTTGCTTTCATACTTGCATTTTAAGTCAATCAGATGTTTGTCCTTCTGCTGGATCGTGAAGCGCCGTATTAGGCCTTCGTCAACTTATCACGGACAACACAAAATGTCCACAAGTCTCCGAAGGATTCAAACCGGAAACTTTTACAAACAGCCAAAATACCGCAGCCCACGTTCACTTTTACACGTCCTGTAGTAAGCGGCTTACGGACGAACATTATCCGGTCAGCTCTTACCCCTGCATTGCCCACCTGCATATCAATCACAGCGCAAAGACAAAGAAGTATCACAATGTTTAAAATCTTATGGCTTGACACTAGTGCGCAGTTTGCGTGTTGTTGAGCACATTGGAGCACATTCACGATGTGGAGCGGACTTTCTAGCGGACCTCGTTAATGATCGACCAAGCCCTTGCTTGAGGAACGTTAGGCCTGCAGGGACCGTTTAATGGGTGTAAGATTTGAGGGTCTTTTCATCTTACGCTCGCAAAAGTCGCGTTCGGATTCGTGGCGCATGGTGTGAGGTGTAATTAGATGTATGGGTCTGACGGTCCTTTGCACCATGGGTTCAGAGATGGAAGTTGAGATGGCAGAATGGTTATGAAGTTTCAGATGAAAAGCTGAGGTGGCATATGCCTTGTAGAGACGATTAAGATCGGATATAAACTCTCAGCGTAGCATGCAGAGAGAGTTTTGGGGCCAGAAGCGCCAAGGTAATAATGGACTGGAAATGAGACATGATCGTCAAGCGTGATCGGATCTCGATTGTACCAATCGAAGTAGAATTATCTAGAAATAATTTCTATTGCGACATTTGACCATGCCTCAAGATATCAAGGCATCTAAGTCTTGTTAAGCCATGTTTGTTCAAGTTGGACATGCTAACATGATGAATATCATATTAAATAGACTTGTCTACGACTCGCTGCTTCAAACATACCCTACATCGTTGAAAGAAACTTGCTCGCATGCTCTCATGTTACTAGCCATTAAAAGCAAAATTGTCAGTTTTTAGCATTCACCAAGAAGCAAGAAAACCCTGCTTGATACCAGTAGATTCGATTGCAACAGAAGACGCAGTCATCACTGTCATCTGCAGTCTCATCATGGATCGCAAACACCCCACAATGGCAACAAAGGGGGTCAAAATTGACTTAGCAACTGAAAAAGCCTTTGACATTTCAAGCTGACTAGCGGGCCGTGTGGACCGGGGGGACGGGCTGTCGGGTCCTTGGAAGACCCCGATAGAAATACGGAGTAAGCTCAAGCTACCACTAACAACGAACATTAACCGTGCGTTGGTGTTTCTCGATGGATCTAATCAACAACAAGAATTCTTGAGCTGACGGCCAAGCTTTATGAGAATCAACCATCCTGTCGGATCGTTTGGCGAGAAGAAAAAGCTCAGATAAAAGGGAATGTATTTTCCGATACAGACTCGAATACGTGAGATTATCACCACCAATATATGCGCATTGTCCAATCAGAGTCGTCAGCTCCGCCTTACCGGGGGATCTTCCATCCGCTGTAACGTGTAATTGGCTGTCGGCCAACGGGTTTTTGTAACGACCCGAATGATGAATACGCGGTTTCGCATCCTGTTTGAAGTTGGGATATGAAAACAAAGTTTTTTTTATCTTTGCGGAGAAGATCGGAGAGATCTGTCCTTGTTGGAAATAACAGTCTTTGATCAGTGCTCCTTACAAGGGGAGATGATATTGCCTTTTAGATCTTGTAGGGCTCTTGGTGGAAAAATAAGCGCGACAAATAGGGTTTGATGCAGCGCGGTAGAAGATGAGATTAGCTGTGTTAGTCGAGATAGAGTTCTCCAGTGTCATGTTTCAAGAGAAGAGGGTCGGATGCGAATATTCATGAGCCAATACTGACCGTTTAATGGTTACCAGAATGCAGATTTTGATGGTCTTGTGGCTTAGGTGAGCCTCTAACGCAATGTTGAATCTTACAGTTACGCTACCAGTCAGAATCATTTGTATGCGAGTGCAATACGACGAATAACATGGCATCCAGGGGTACGAGCCTACGAGGACCAAAGCGCGGAGTTGGTAGTGGGGCATGTATGCAATTCACTCCCATTCCCGGGATCCTCTCTCGCTTAAATGGCCTGGAGTGTCGGAGTTTGAAGGTACCCGTTATCCGCCAAGAATTGTCTCTCACCCTCACTCTCACTCTCAGGCGCTGTAAACAAGCACCGTAATGTTTGACTCAACAGCGCACCCCTCTATGATTGCCTAAATTGTCATTGCGTATCGGGTCGGGTTGTTGATAGTGTGCGAAAGGGCAAATTGTTTCTTAATGCCGGGGAGATGAAGAGGCGTAGTGGATAAGAGTTGCGGACTTTGTTACGGCGTTGACTCATTGACGAGTATGATCAACTGTTGCGGACTGAGAACTGGGAATAATATGGCGATATCTTGAGTCAGTTTGAGTTTGAAGGAGGAAAAAAAAAAAGAGGTTAAATACAGATTCAATCCCTAGCAGTGACCTAGGTACTGTACTCGGGGCGGCCGCCAGGTAAATCGTTGACAGCCAACCCAACCCAGTGAGAAACAACCCCTACCTCTGAGGCTTGCAGCCGCACCCGCACCCGCTTGCACTTCCAAAAGCTGCGCTAGAATTAGCTGGGCGTGCACACCCCTTGTCGTCTACACTTCGATTTCAGGCTTAGTCGACAGGTGGACCTTTGCTTGGATGATCCACGCGAGTTTATCTCCATTCATCTGTAAGGTTAGCTTACCGACGGAGGACATGACGAACTGAGAGAGAGCTCATTCATATTTTACATATTCTCCTGACCTCCCTCCTGTTCAGTTTTGTTTTGTCCAGGGTCCTTTTTCTCACACTCCTCTTTTACGGAACTGCTTACTCCCTTATGATCGGCTGTCTATTCATTGTCGATCCTTAATACCTACCTTTTAATACCTTTTCTTTTCTTGTTGTTTTGTTTGAATTGGTTTGTCTTCCACAATACTCGACTACCAATTCGCATATTAAACAACATTCCACACCCAACTTACAACTACGATACGAAATACTGCAGTCACTGGGGTATCACTCACCCAACCTCGACACTCAATTGCGAGAATCCCAAGTAGATTCAGCCGTCACAATTCATCATGTCGGCGCTCTACGGGATCAACGCTAATAACGACGCCACTGCTGCAAGGCAGGGTGCTCCAGGCGCAGGCTCAGTTGGTAACCATGTGCCTGTTGCCGACAAGCACACCGACGATGAAGCGATCAACGAGAAACCCTCATCATCACCCGCCGACACTTTGGGTAAAGATGAAGAAGACGAAGATTCAGAGATGGAGCGAAGAACCTCCATCGTTCAGGCCCTTGCTCGCTCTTATTCGCATGCCTCTGGCACTCACCCCAACGGACAGAATCCTTTCCAGGCCGGTGAGGATTCACCTCTTAACCCCAACTCTCCCAACTTTAACGCTCGCGAATGGGCAAAGTCTGTTGTGGAGTTAGTTCACCAGGACGGCGCTGGTTTCCGATCCGCTGGTGTTTGTTACCAGAACCTCAATGTTTATGGTTATGGTGGTGCTAGCGATTACCAGGGTGATGTCGCAAATGTGTGGCTCTCTCTGAGTGATCTCGTTGGCAGAATGACTGGTCGCAAGCGACAGCGCATTGATATCTTGCGCAACTTCGATGGCGTCGTGCACAAGGGTGAAATGCTTGTCGTTCTTGGACCTCCCGGTGCTGGTTGCTCCACCACGCTCAAGACCATCGCTGGTGAACTCAACGGTATCTACGTCGATGAGGGGTCCTACTTCAACTACCAAGGTGAGTCGAATCGCAACTTTCACACAAAAGGGGTGTTTTGGTTTCACGAGACTCGGTCTTTTGTTGCGATCAGCAACGGGCTTGTCGCGTGCAACACAACTCATACCTACATGCGCCCAGGTAACCAGTATCTCTAACATCATGTGCCACAGGTATGACCGCCAAGGAGATGCACACCCACCACCGCGGTGAGGCTATCTACACCGCCGAGATTGATGTTCATTTCCCTATGCTGTCTGTTGGCGATACCCTCACCTTCGCTGCCAGAGCTCGACAGCCCCGCCAGCTTCCCCAGGGCTTGAACAGAAACGACTTCGCCGATCACCTCCGAGATGTTGTCATGGCTATGTTTGGTATTTCTCACACCGTCAATACCCGCGTCGGTAACGAGTACATCCGTGGTGTCTCGGGTGGTGAGCGCAAGCGTGTTACCATTTCTGAGGCTGCCTTGTCTGGTGCTCCTCTGCAGTGCTGGGATAACTCAACTCGAGGTCTCGACTCCGCCAACGCCATCGAATTCTGCAAGACCCTTCGTCTTCAAACTGAGCTTTTCAACAACACCGCTGTTGTGTCTATCTACCAGTCACCTCAGAGCGCTTATGACCTGTTTGACAAAGCCACTGTCATCTACGAGGGTCGACAAATCTTCTTTGGTCGCGCTGATGCCGCCAAGCAGTACTTTATCAACCTGGGTTTCGAGTGTCCTCCTCGCCAGACCACCCCTGATTTCCTCACTTCCATGACTGCTCCTAACGAGCGAATTGTGCGTGATGGTTTCAAGGGCAAGGTTCCTCGAACCCCTGATGAGTTTGCTACCGCTTGGAGAAACAGCGCCGAGTACAAGGCCCTGCAGGCTGAGATTGAGGACTACAAGGTCGCTCACCCCATCAATGGCCCCGACGCCGAGGCTTTCCGTGCTTCCAAGCAAGCTCAGCAGGCTAAGCGACAGCGCGCCAAGTCTCCCTACACTCTCTCCTACTCCCAGCAGATTCAGCTTTGTCTGTGGCGTGGATGGCTGCGACTCAAGGGTGACCCTGGTATCACTGTTGGCTCTCTTATTGGTAACTTTGTCATGGCTCTTATTATCGGTTCCGTCTTCTACAACCTGGATGAAACTTCAAGCAGTTTCTTCCAGCGTGGTGCTCTCCTGTTCTTTGCTGTTTTGATGAACGCTTTCGCAAGTGCTCTCGAGGTAAGCCTGATACGAATCCCATTCATGAACAAAACTAACAGTATCAGATTCTCGCCCTGTACGCGCAACGTCCAATTGTTGAAAAACATAGTCGTTATGCATTATATCATCCGTCTGCAGAAGCTATATCTTCGATGCTGTGCGACATGCCGTATAAAATCGCCAATACGATCGTTTTCAACATTACGCTTTATTTCATGACAAACCTCAAGCGCGAGCCAGGAGCCTTCTTTTTCTTCATCCTCATGTCTTTCGTTGTGGTTTTGGTCATGTCAATGATCTTCCGTACCATTGCGTCCGCTACTCGCAGTTTGTTCCAAGCTCTCGTCCCTGCCGCTATTCTCATTCTGGATCTTGTCATCTTTACTGGTTTCGTCATTCCAAAGCGTTATATGCTCGGATGGTGCAAATGGCTATACTGGATTGACCCCATCGCCTACGCTTTTGAAGCTGTCGTTGTCAACGAATTCCATAATCGGGACTACACATGCAACGAATTCGTTCCTAACCCTTCGGTTCCCGGATATGGCGATGTTGCATCGGAAAACCGTGTGTGCAGTGCTGTTGGTGCTGAACCAGGAAGAGCTGCCGTCAATGGTGACCGCTACGCTGAACTGCAGTTTGGTTACAGATGGGAGAACCGCTGGCGCAATTTTGGTATCGTTATCGCATGGATCGTTCTTTTCACTTTCACCTACATGGTTGCCGCCGAACTCGTTTCCGAGAAGAAGTCCAAGGGTGAAGTCTTGGTTTACCGACGCGGTCACAAGCCTGCTGCCGTCGCCAATGCTGAGAAGAAGCATAGCGACCCTGAGGCTGCTATGGCTCACATTGGTCCCGTTGTCACTGCTGAGCGAACCCGCAGCCGAACCAACAAGGATGGCGGTATGCTCCAGGAACAGACCTCGGTCTTCCAGTGGCACGATGTCTGCTATGAGGTCAAGATCAAGGACGAAACCCGTCGCATTTTGGATCATGTCGATGGTTGGGTTAAGCCTGGTACCCTGACTGCCCTAATGGGTGTTTCTGGTGCTGGTAAAACCACTCTGCTTGATTGTTTGGCCGACCGTACTTCTATGGGTGTTATCACAGGCGAGATGCTAGTCGATGGTAACCCTCGAGACATGTCCTTCCAGCGCAAGACCGGTTATGTTCAGCAACAGGATCTCCATCTTCAGACCTCGACAGTCCGAGAGGCCCTCAACTTTAGTGCCCTCCTGCGCCAGCCCGCTCACGTCCCCAAGCAGGAGAAGCTCGACTATGTGGAACAGGTTATCAAGCTCCTCGATATGGAAGAATATGCCGATGCCGTGGTTGGTGTTCCTGGTGAAGGTCTCAACGTCGAGCAACGTAAGCGTCTTACTATCGGTGTCGAACTTGCTGCCAAGCCTCCTCTGCTGCTCTTTGTTGACGAGCCTACATCTGGTCTCGATTCTCAAACCTCTTGGGCTATCTTGGATCTTCTTGAGAAGTTAACAAACGCGGGTCAAGCCATTCTCTGCACTATTCATCAGCCTTCTGCCATGTTGTTCCAACGCTTCGATCGACTCCTTTTCTTGGCTAAGGGTGGCAAGACTGTCTACTTTGGTGATATCGGTGAGAACTCAAAGACCATGACCAGCTACTTTGAGCGTTATGGTGGACACGCCTGCCCCCCTGAGGCTAACCCTGCTGAATGGATGTTGGAAGTTATTGGTGCTGCTCCCGGATCTCACACCGAACTTGATTGGTTCCAGACTTGGCGCGACAGCCCTGAGTACCAAGATGTCCAGGCTGAACTCGAGCGTATCAAGCGAGAGAAACAGGGTGTTGAGGATACTGATGTTGATGACGGCAGCTATCGCGAGTTCGCTGCTCCTTTCATGGTCCAACTCAAGGAGGTCCTCTTCCGTGTTTTCCAGCAGTACTGGCGAACTCCCGTCTACATCTATTCCAAGGCCGCTCTTTGCTCTCTCGTCGCTCTCTTCATCGGTTTCGTCTTCTTCAGAGCCCCCAACAGTATCCAAGGTCTTCAGAACCAGATGTTCGCTATTTTCAACCTTCTCACTATCTTCGGTCAACTGGTACAACAGTCTATGCCTCAATTCGTCATTCAGCGTTCCCTTTACGAGGTTCGTGAGCGTCCTTCTAAGGTCTACTCATGGAAAATCTTCATGTTGGCGCAGATTATCGTCGAATTGCCTTGGAATAGTTTGATGGCTGTTATCATGTTCTTTGGCTGGTACTACCCTGTCGGTCTTTACAACAACGCTTCTGACGCCGGTCAAACTACCGAACGTGGTGCCCTTATGTTCTTGTTGCTGTTGGCTTTCCTCATTTTTACCGCTACCTTCTCGACCATGATTATCGCTGGATTCGAAACAGCTGAGGGTGGTGCCAACGTTGCTAACCTGCTGTTCATGCTCTGCCTGATTTTCTGTGGTGTCCTCGCTCCTAAGGGAACTCTACCCGGCTTCTGGAAGTTCATGTACTACGTATCACCGTTCACATATCTAGTTGGAGGCATGTTAGCAACAGGTGTCGCCAATACCGAAGTCACCTGCGCCAGCAACGAGCTCGTGCCCATCACACCACCCAACGGCTCGACTTGCATTGAGTACATGGGCGACTATATCAAGGCTGTCGGCGGTTACTTCGTGGACCCCGAGGCCACCTCCAACTGCGAGTTCTGCACAGTCCAGTACACCAACACATACCTCGCCGGCGTTAACATCGACTATGCCGACCGATGGCGCAACTTTGGTCTTCTGTGGGTGTACATCATCTTCAACATGGGTGCCGCTCTGTTCATCTACTGGCTTGCGCGTATGCCTAAGAAGAGCTTCAAGAAGAAGACCAAGAAGGAGTAAAAGAAGAAAAAATTGAAGAAAAAAAAATGAAACTCTTGTACTGTGTATGAGATTGGAGGGTTTTTGTTTATTTACTAGAGATTGTGAGGGTGAATGAGCCTTTGCATATAGATGGCATGGCATTGCCAAACATGTACATATGAGTTTTTATTAGACACTGTAATATGATGGGATGGACACAGATGTGGGATGGAGGAAGAATACCCATACCCCTTTCAATGAACTTTTCTTAAAATCTTTGGCCCATTTGATTGAGGTGATGTCTGTGTATTAGTTCTGGTTCAAGCACCCTATCGTTGCTATCATGTTGAGTTGAATGAAGATAGGACTCCTAACATCCCAGTTGCAGTGTCATCTTCCACTCAACGTCTGACGTACTATTGAGTCTTCATACTCACCAAACCCGAGTATTCCTTAGAGCTAGGTTCCTCAGACAGTTGATATCAGCCTATAACAGTCTTGCGATCTTGCTCTGCCGGCTCAGGCCCAATACCACAGTCACGAAGACCAGGGAGTGGAAAGTAGTGACATTCGCCTTCCCAGTCCTCCAAGCCTTGCCATCTGTGAGTAATACAAAGGTCTCATAGTCAGTTGCGAACCCCGAAAATGCGTGGTCGAGAACAAGCATTGCCTGGCGGCGGCCTTCATATTCAAGTACCCAGTACGTATAGCACAATGGAGAGTGTGGCCCGTCAACACCCTCGTATCCCGCAATCACAAGTGGTAGGTTCTTCGGAGACTCCCAGCCCATAAAATTGATGACATTGTCTTTATCTTCACTCCAGCATGCCAAGTCGTCGACTGAAATTTCTTGCTCCCAAGTGTAATCCCATAGACCTGTGATAGTTGTAACTATGATGGTGAGCAACAAATCAAACAGAAGGATATTTTTCGTTACCAACTGTTGCAGCCGTTAGAGAGAGAAAAGAAGCAATATTGGTAAATTGAGATATCTGCATCTTGAGGCGTAATTAAATAATGGGAGGTAAAGAAGGATTCGGGAGAAAGCTGGTAGAGGAAGGAAAGCTGCTACTAAACTCTGAAAGATACAATGAACTCTACTAAATTACCCTTGCTACAAATGTTTAGTTGATGGGTGCATTTCATAATTTCTGTTGGTTGTTGGTTGTAATTCTTGGTCTAGATCATTTTATCCATGATATTCCACTTGGCTCGTGCGTGCTTCTCGGAAAATAATGCCGAAGATTGATTAAGTTTTGTGTGGGAAAATATGAGTCACAATGCCTCTGAGGTTCCCTCCGAAGAAATAGAAGAACTTATGTTTTTATGGACTGTTGCAGTGCTGAAGGTTCGAGTGTAGTTATGGCAGATGAGAATGAGTTGAGGATAGGTAGACAGGTGGCTCTCTAATAGCATCACCAAATCCTTCACCTATTGAATAGGCACAATTTTTACAGAAGCACATAAGCCTAATAGCAGTCAAAGTGCTATAAGTCGCCATTCATCTTTCTTTTCAACACCATGTTCAACACCACGCTATGCAACAGTCACTCCCAAATCCCCAAGCCTATGTACAACTTTTCTTTGCTTTAACAATTTTTCAAAACATCAACTTTTTAAGCCTTTCCAGGCCAGATCTCCTTAGCGACATCGTTGACAAGCTTGAGCTTGGCAAACATCTTGTCCTCAGTCATACCCTCAGCACCAACAGCGACACTAGCGAAGCCGCACTGAGGGCTGATGCCAACCTGCTCAAGAGCCTCCTCCAGACTGCGACCCTGACCATCAGCGATGATCTTGGCAGCGTCGAGCACGCGGTGCTTGATGACCTGAGCATCCTCAAGCTCGGGTTCCTTGGTGGTGATGACTCCGAGGACGACGTTCTTGTGCTTAGGGAGGAAGCGAAGGGGCTCGAAACCGCCGGAACGAGGGTTGTCGTACTCGAGGAAGAAGGTGTCGTAGTTGAGGACGGTGAAGAACTTCTCGGCGATCTTCTCGTATGAACCCTCGCTGAAGTGCATGGACTTGGAGAAGTTTCCTGTGGTGTATAAGTGAGTGGATCCGGCGTCATGAACTGAGAAACATACCTCTGCAGACGTGTAGTCCAACGTGTAGACCCTCAGGTCGGTCGGCAATAGCATCGTTGTGAGCCTTGAGGTAAGTGTCGAACAGCTTGTCAGGATCAACACCCTCATCTCTCAGAGACTGAAGCATCTCATCAGAGCAGAAGTAGGCGAGAGTGGGGTCGTCGATCTGGATGTTTCGCACGCCCTCATCGTACAAAGTCTTGAACTCCTGACGGTAAGCCTTGGCCAAATCGGCAAAGAAGTCCTCATCGTTAGAGTAAGCCTCAGGGCTGTAGCACTTTCCAGAGGCAAGTCTCAGGTGGAAATAGCAAGGAGGAGGCATGGTGAACTTGCACTCAGCCCACTGCTCACGAGGAACACACTCGCGGAGCATCTTCCAGTTCTCGAGGTAAGGGCTCTTCTTGTACTCGATCTTGGACTCGCAAAGAGCAGCCATGGGATACTGCTTACCAGCCTTCTTCAGCGCAGCAATGGGAGGCGCAGAGAGACGGACGAGATCCCAGGGAACAGGCTCAACTTCGCGGAAACCACCTAGACGCTCAAAGAATCCAGAGAAGTAGTACTTGCGATCAAACTCACCGGAAGAAATAGCGCGGACTTCATGTTCCTGCTGCTTCTTCACGATATCGGCAATAGCAGCCTTTTGCGTCGCAGCAAGCTGCTCAGCAGTGACCTGACCGGCATCAGCTTGCTCCTGGGTGCGAGATAGCGCGTCAGGGCGAATGAGAGAGCCGATGTGGTCGGCGTGGAAGGGGAGTTTTGTGACAGTCATTTTGAGCGCGAGGAGAGTCAATTGAGCGGTTTCATGGCTGCGGGAGTAGCCATCATGGCTCTTTTTATCATGGGCATGATGACATGGGGTATTTCCCCAAGCAAAGCCGGGCCAATCAATGGTCCAATGATGACTGCGTTGAGAGTAGCATGTCTCCATATGACCCCTCCCCCTCCGCAGATCTTCGGTTGATAGACACGGCTGTTGAGATGAGGGTTAGGGTTACGATGTTTGCAGTTCATGTCTACTCATGAACAGAACAGAAGCGGTAGAACAGATGAATTGTTTATCAAATATTGCCTGTACTCGACAGCGCGATGCAAGAAAGGCACATAGTTGAGCATGGGCCAGTATGGCAACTCAGAAGGTAGCCGACATGTCATCGAAGAGCCTCAAAGAATGGGAACGACAGGCAAGGCGCAAATGGCCTTTGCAGCAATTGCTCATGACATCTCGGCTGCTGTGTTTCAATGGGGTACTTGAAGCCTGATCTTTGTCAGTCATGATGAAAGAAGGGAAGCCAGCCTGCAAATTGAACTGCTCGAGGGCGAGAAAACTGATGATGCTTACATTACCAGTTTCAATGTTGATGTTATTGACAAAAGTTGTTTTGTTCCAAAGGAAACAGGGGCAACAATCGTTTTCAAAGCCTAGAAATGACAATGTCCAAGCAACTAACCAAGGGGCAAAGTCTCCTGTCTCACTTGGAGCATACCGCAGTACCAAGACCTGCAACATTCTACGTGTGTTCCTTCTACATTTCAGTAGTTTCATCGAGATCGGACCCAAAAGTGTTAGATGGTATAAAAGAAAAAGAAAAGAACTTACTAACACTCAATATGTGAGACTATCCAAGCAAGGGGGCAAGATTTGACCAACCCAAAAGACAAAACAATGCGTCTCTCCCTTACTGAGCCTTGGCACAATGAGAGGCTTTCCACTCTGCATGTCAAATAAGAAAGTTTAATATGTAATTTTCTGCAAGCCATCAAATTAAGCGGCTTGCATAAGGCGACAAATAAGGGCCCTCCCTGACATCGGAAGCGAAGACAGAGGAGATTAGTGCATCGTGGGCGTTTTTCCCACGATAGCGGACCAACATAAGCTCCGATCAGAAGCGGGAATGGCTCCAACGGCACGCGCTGCCAACATTCCTCGCCAGCAAATGTTGTTGTCGCAACTTTACTTGGCTTTCCAATTTTAGCATTGCAGTTGGTGATCAAACATACGAGGCGCAACGTTGCCATACGTTAATTTGATCGACAGGAACAGGAGCTTTGAGGATATTCTTTTACAGTGTGCTGATATACCTTTGTGTAACAGAGGCGTAAAAAAGGGTGTTTTGTACCTTGCATGAAATCTTGTAGTACATGATGGCAATATCAACGACTTGGCACGGCAACTTTTGATCCGGAGAGGGATGATACTGGAAATGGAGTTCCATGATGTTATCACTCAGGAGCAATTGACGTTGGAACGGATGCGATAGCTAAAGCTTCTACTCACGTCATAGAAAGATCATCATCACCAAGTTATCTATCAAGAGCAAGTCAAGTGATTGTATGACTCGACTGGTTAGTATCAGTCTTCAAGCTCTGGAAATAGACAAGGTTGTTGCCGTAGGGCTCTGGCGAGCCTCCGAGACTACCGAGTACCGATTTGTTTAAGCTATCACAGTGATCCATGTTAACTCAAACTTAACAAGCTTCCTTGGATGAGTTGCATCCAAGGGATCTACTGTGGGGTTGTCGATTCTTAGCAGATGTGAATCAGTTATCGCCAAGCGAGAAGTGGATTAGCTGAAAATTCCTGGAAAGTGTATTGAGCTCTATCCAATCAGTAGTTGAAGCTTGGTCTGATACGAGCCGTGAATTCCAGTGATATTTCTTGTAAGGTTATACGAGAACTTCAACGCTCGGTTACAACTCTTTCCGCAGTAATAAACTTAGATTAAGCTTGGCGATACCAGAAACGTCGAAATGAACATCAGATTTAACAAAAATCCCCATTATTTTGAGGCATTTCCTGATCATTTCCTGTTGAAGTGTCATGGACTTTGAGTTCCACTGTCGAAAACTACCCTAGACCCCCGTCCGGAGCACGGCCGTCTCGGCGGCCTCCGCAAAAACCTCGGCCCGCATAACACAACTCCTCAGACTGATTCATGTCTCATACCAGCTTTCAGCTCTCCCTTCGTAAGACCAACCTTTCTTCCACTTCTCACGAACGCAATTTCCCCCTTGTGGATCATCTATTAGCTTCCGGGATGCAGTGCCTCGATCTTGTGGACATGGACGAGAAACCCAAAACAAAACACTCATATGCAAATGCTTTCGAGATATGAAGAAACCTTCGGATCCTATTTCCCCGGATTGTGCTAAAGAATGCTCGCATCCGGCCGAAGGGAGGGAGGGGTCTGATAAACGGTTTCGAAACAGGGTTGATCTTTGCCTTGTCCGATTCAAGTTCCAACCGCTGAAAACGCTATGTGAGTGATACTCAAGTGAGTATAGTCGCCTTTGGAGGAGCCACAAAACACACCAGATATTGCTCTGCCTATTTCTGGTGACCAATGACGTACATTCTTGGTTGATGGAGATTAAACACTCGTCACATATCTGCCAAACCTTACAGGAGGGGAACCTTTGAGAAAGTGTGATCTGATAGCGAGTGCTGCTTTGACGCATCCAGGAATGATCGTGCGCATGCGGAGAAATTATTTCTTGGCTACCAATCTGATGCCGATGGGCCGTCGGTATCCAAGAAACAGTCGAACATGGAGGAATTCAGAGTGCTTCGATTCATGTGAAATTACTCCTTTGAGGGAGGGTAGGCCAGGGCATCCGGATGAGTGTCTCAGCAGAATCCTGTGTCAGCAGCCTCACGTATCAACAAGTGAGATAGAGGCTATCAGTATTAACATCTGGAATTTAGAGTAATCTTACAACCCGAGGTGCTGCAGAGCCAAATTCTCAAGCAGCGGGGATTTTGGGCCAACAAGCTTCATAGAGTGTGGAGTGGGAGTGAGACATGTCAAGTCAGGGGCACTGCATTCTTTGCTTGTTGGACGGGAACGCCATGTCTCAACAGTCACAGCACTCTGGACTTGTTTGCGTTGGGCTCGATGCATTCGTCGAGGACCAGACAGACTATCGGCGCGAGGCTTAGTCTGTGGTCCTAGGAGGATCCCATACAATCTCAGCCCCAAGGTAAGGGACCCAAATCATGTATAAAGAGAGGGCTTGATTCCGTCCAAAGCTCAACTTCTTTCTTCCCTCATCATCAAGCAACTCAAACACCCTCGATCCCCTCGCTTCTCTTCCGAGAGCTGTTTTCCAGTCGTTACACCCCCAGTCATTCGCTCTAAAGAACCACCATCAAACAAGTCAAGATGCGTTACACCGAGATCCTCGCCCTGGCCATGGGCAACTTGGCCGCTGCTCAGTTCACCACAACCCGCTTCGCCAACACCACCACCAGCGCCATTGAGACTGGCACTGCCACCACTGGCACTGATGTCACTGGCACTGAGAGCTCCGGTGCCGCTACCAGCACCTCTGCCGGCGGCATTGGTAACCCTGACGGCTTCAACTTCCTCGGCTGCTTCTCTTCTGAGAACGGCTTCCCTGGCTTCACTCAGGCCTACTCCTCTGAGGAGAACGACTCTGAGCGTTGCGCTGATGCCTGCTTGGGCTCAAACTTCTTCGGTCTTTATGACAACAGCTGCTACTGTGGTAGTGAGCTTGACCTCAGCACCTCGCCTTCTGTTGGCACTGACCAGTGTGACCTCTCTTGCCCTGGCAACCCTGATGAGAACTGTGGTGGTCTCGCTGCTGGCGACCGTCTCATGCGCCGACAGGTCGCTGTCAACGTTCTCCTCTCCGTCTACGTCGCCGTCGGTGTGAACCCTGGTGAGACTGACACTGTCATCAACACCGACTTCGTGACAGAGACCCTCCCTCCTGTCACCACCACTGCCACCGTCACCTTCACTGAGGATGGCACCACCGTCACCCAGACCGTCACCACTGTTCTCCCCGCCATCCCCACCGATGTCATCATCATTTGCTACGGTAACTACTGTGCTCCTCAGGTCCACTGCCCTACCTGCACCAAGTGGCAGATCGTCTGCGAGGATGGCCTCTGCGCTCCCCGTGAATGCTACGACGACACCTGGAGCAAGCTCAAGATCTGCAACAGCGGAAAGTGCTACTACGCCGACTACGAGGGTGATGAGTGCAACCAGCGCATTGTCTGCTACGGCAGCGAGTGCCAGCGTGACCAGCACTACTCTGTCGACTACGCTCGCAAGTTCGTCTGCGATGTCGATGAGGACCGATACTACTTCGATGAGTGCAAGGATGACTGCTACACCTACGAGAAGTGCTCCAAGGGCGAGTGTGAGCCCGTCCACCCTCCTGTCAAGCCCGAGCCTGTCCACCCTCCCAAGCCTGTCTACCCCGGCAAGCCCCCTGTTGTTGTCGTCCCTGAGCCCGAGACTCCCTCCAAGCCTGAGCATCCCGAGACTCCTGCTAAGCCCGAGACTCCTGGCAAGCCCGAGACTCCCGCTAAGCCCGAGACTCCCGCCAAGCCTGAGCATCCCGAGACTCCTGCTAAGCCCGAGACTCCTGCTCAGCCAGAGACTCCTGCTCAGCCTGAGACTCCCTCCAAGCCCGAGACTCCTGCCACCACCGGCACTGGCTCCAAGCCCGAGGTCCCCGTTGTGACCGCCGGTGCTGCCCAGAAGACCTTCGCCGGTATGGCCGCTGCCATCGCCGGTCTTGCTTTCGTCCTGTAAAGGATATGACAAGCAAAACTTCTTCTTCTCCCCGGATGGGACTTTTCTCATAGATGCCGGAGTCCCTGCCCGGCAAGCTCAGCATTCACGTCTTTGCTCTTGATAGCAACAAACACGCATATGTGTAACGTTTAACGTTCTTGGTTCATTCTTACACCAGTCGGTATAATTTGGGTAGATCTAGCTCTGGGATATCTGTACGATAGATTAGGGTTTTGGCTGTCCATTTCGATGGTGGTACCTTTTTGGCGATTAGAAATCAGTAGTATTTCGGCTTTAATATGGCTTTATGACTTTATTCGTACTTTAGAGGATTCTAAGGTGACAGTGATTCGCTTTACTCTTCTCTTCTCTGATAACTGTGACATACTTGATGGTGGCTGAATCAAATTGACTAATACGTTTATCTTTAGGCTTGTTTAAAGGTAATCTTGGAAGCAAGGGATGCTATCTTCAAAGTCAGTTCCTTGCAGGAGAGATATGTAAGGGGTCGTCGTGTGAGCCAGCCTCACCAGGAAACTTCTGACAGCTTTCTGCAGAGCAATGCAATTGGATGGCCCTTATGCGGACGCTCACATGCAGTATATTTTCTTTTTGTGTCTGAAACGATAGGCAGTGGAGAAGCAGTGTATCTCGATCTTGGTGGGAAAATATGCCAGTAGACAACTCTTGGGCAATTAACCGCGACATTATAGCATCAATCACTTCGTGCTGGTAAACAGCTTCTAAATGGTCGGAGGTCAAATCTTGGGTTGCATTGAGTAAAAGTTCCTATGCTTGTGCTTTCGCGAAATGTTGGCTTGGCGAGGTGATAGTAATAACAGTGTGACCAACAGCTGTTGTCAGCGCCCGCAATACTTTTTACAGTTGATGTTGCAGGCATGAAGTCCTTGTAATAGACTATGTCAGGTCTGTTGTTGCGGTCTGGAAAGTTCAGCATGGATAAATACCTGGACTTTAGGCAGTCGTATTTCACGATAGTATCCTGATTGCTGGAAGAATGACACTCCCGGCAGTGTCCAATAGCAGGAGTGAAATGACCGTGATGGATAAGGCTTAGGGCTATAAGGTAAAAGATGCGAATCGATGGGCATATACCCCTGTTGGGTTATAGCATCTCACAACTCGCTCGGTTAATATCCATCACATCACTTCGATCCAGGGTTCAAGGGTACCTTTCCCGCATCGTGCACGGTGAGCATTAATGCAAGACCGTTTATGGCAGTTGTAAGCTCTTATCGTCAGGGGAATATGCTATAATTCCCAATGTCCGATGATTGACCTCTGAATATGATGGTATATATGTTGATGGGGGGTTCGAATAAGAATGTCGTGATGTTGCACGGGGAGTATCGGGCTCAGAGATGTCCCAAGAGCGGAGTAGAAACCGCTTCTGGTGGAGATGGTCTTACGCTAAATGCCTGCGGCCATATCCCTTGTGTCGGTACGACAAGGATGGATACGTAATTGCGGTCTGAGCTTGATTGAAGATTTACGCATTGTTCAGCTCTTGATAATTATCTTGCTATGCTGAAGGTTGCTTGTTAGCTCATTCGTTTGAAGCCGATGGAGAGACAATGTCAGTGTATAAATGAGACGAAGAGCTTTGATAGAGATCCAAGAACCACTGAATAAAATTTGTTTATCTCGTGTCCAGAAACAGCAAGATTCTTTTTCGGAGGAAAGTTGCAGGGTCCGAGATTCTTGTTGGATGGTGCAAGATGCCTGACACGGGCTACAGTACCCAAGCTGGGAATACCCAGAACCTTGGCTTTTATGTATGCATGGATCTTGATAACAGGTGGTCTTAACAATATCCGCTCATACAATTAATTACCTGTACACTGTCTAGGTAGTTAATAATTGACCAAATAAAAGAACAAGCTTCTCTTGAACAATGCCAGTGTAACCCTTCAAACTCACCCTCCACTGCGGAACCGAAAAGGAAAAAGGTGGAGGTGTGTGACTGTGACCGCCAGACGAGACTGCCTAAACCCTTGCAAGTTCTTGATTGACTTGAATGTGGATTGCGGCGTTATGATTGATTTGCCTAGACGCTTCTGAGCGGTACCAACAGACTGGAACTGGCTGGTCATCTGGGGCAGCCACAATTTTGTGTTTTAGAGTAGGAATTTTTCCAGATTCTCGGTAACGACATCATCACAGTCACAATCACAGTGATATATAGATTGACATTGTCATAGAAGTGATGATTCGATATGATGAGGTTTATATGCTAGTCATGAGTGCACTAGGAAGTGTAAAAAGGGACAATCCTTTCCTAACATCATTAATAGAGGTGCATGTTTCTCCTCTTTTTTTCTTGATAGCTTCCCATCGCTATCCTTCTCAGTATGGAGTAACTTTTAGTCTCTTTGGAATGGATTCTCTCTAACCCAACTTGGTCTGGTCTTACCGTTTACCGTCTCTTTTTTAAAGCAACCCAACTGACCTTACTCTACTTTACTTGCCTTGCCCTGCCCTGCCCCGAACCCTTGATCAGTCTTTCTCTTCAACTTGGCTCTTTATATATCGATGCCAACTGAGTCTCATCGACATCAACACCAAAGCGACAATATCACCGTATACTGGCTTAGCGTCGTCTTGACTTACACGGCCTAAGCTTATAGCGCCTTATCCGCTGTAAGGTTACTGACGTCAGGTCGATCTACGGAGGAGAGCGCCATCCCGCTCAATCTCACCTTAGCGCCTTCCATTCCCTGACTATCTCCTGTCCTACTTGAACAGTTTAACTCTGTCATATTTAATGTTTTGTTTTTGACTTCAACACCACAAAAACTCTGTTGTGTCGACCCTCAATCATCACCCGCGGTATGCGCATACCCCTGTACCTGCGCTCACGATAATGAACTCGCCGCCAAACTCATTCTCTCGCCAATCCGATGGCTCTAATACCTCGAAACGAAGGGATGGCGCTGGAAAAGACCAACATCTACCTATCTCCCGCCATATGGTACCCCCATCTCCAGCGTCTTCGACGACATCTCCCCTGGCTGTAGGCTCGACACACGAAGCGGCTCTTATACAAAGCATTGAGCGAGGCGATTACGCGACCGACGACGATGAGACACGGAGCCTTACCGATAGCATACGACAGCACATTGTAGAGGGTGGTCTGCGGTATCATAGGTACAGATAAATGCGAGCCGTCTTTGCTCTATGACTGACAGCAGATCGCAGCTACCATGCAGGAAAATATCTCTTCCCTAATGACGAGGCCGAGCAAGATCGAGAAGAGCTCAAGCATAACTTGACTGTGTATCTGTGTGATGATAGACTGTTCTTTGCGCCAATTGAGCAGCTATTGGAAAAGGGAGCTGAAGTGCTCGATCTGGGTACAGGAATTGGAAAATGGTGTGTCGAGCGTAAGACTCACCGAAAGAGCCCCATACCAAGCCGGGAGTCTAATTACTGACCCTGATAGTTGCCGATATCTATCCCAACTCGCAATTTCACGGCATGGACCTTTCACCTATACAGCCAGACTGGGTCCCAGAGAATGCCATTTTTGTTGTCGACGATATAGAGCACGAAGCTGGCTGGACCTATGGAGACGAAACATTTGATTACATTCATATACGCCACACAGTTCATTCGATCAAAGACCGAGAGTTGCTCTGGGAACGAATCTTGAGGTATGATTGTCGTGCGCCTTTATATGACCACAAGCTGACTCTCACACAGACACCTTAAACCAGGAGGTTACGTAGAAATACAGGAGTTTAACTACATTGCAGCTTGCGACGACAACTCATGCGACGGTCCATACGCTTGGCGGGACTATTGCAGATATCTCTACGAAGGCATGCTAGCTCTCGGCACAGACCTCCACGGCATCAGTTACGTGGAGCACGAACTGCACGAAGCAGGCTTCGAAAACATCACAACCAAAGGCTACAAGTGCCCAGTTGGGCCATGGGCGAAGAAAACACGACTTCAAGAGTGTGGCCATATTTTGCGAGATGTTATTTTGTGGGGTCTCGTTGGTCTTTCTCGAAAACCGTTTCGTGATGGTCTCGGCTGGACATTGATCCAGATCGAGATGTTCCTCGTCGAAGTTCGCAAGGCATTGACTCAGGAAGTCAATGGCTTACCCAGGTTCCATACTTATTTCCCTTACTACAACATTCACGCTCGGAAGCCTCTGAATTCGCAGAGGCCCATCAGGGAAGACGCTTGAAAGCCAGTTTCTGCTGGAGACATCACGACGCATAGCATATACGACACTGCATTTTCATAACGATTTGACGAGATACAACATCACTGGCATAAGGAAGCAGGAACACATATGGGAGCATGGTTTGGCGTTTCGGTTTGCATTAGAAGGCTAATTAGAGCCGGTGATAAAATATCACTTACAAGGCGTAACTGAGCGACTATTTCACTTTTTTTCATGTTTATAACATGCTTGGCTAGTTAGCAGACGCAAAACATAGTCGGCGAAATACTATCATAAACTATGAATTCTTCAAAATTTAGGTAACAATACCTGAATTCATCATCATATGGTCTGCAACAGGCCCAAACTTATAAATCTTAAATTATGGTATCCTAAGTTTATCCAGCTTGGGATCAAATCCGATAAGTTTAGGCTTCATTAGAATATTTGTCACTAAATTCATCATCAAATTGTCGTCAGTCATTCTAAACACCCAGTGATTGCAACAGACTGAGACTATTCCGACTTCCGGTCATGCTCGAAAGCCCAAAGATCACCAAATCGACTTCCTGCCGTCTCAACGAGCTCCCTTGGCCCACCAGATTCTACAACAGTACCCCTATCTAGAACAATAACTCTGTCAAAGAAGTCCATTACCATATCAAGCCGATGCGACACCATGACAATTGTATAATTCTCAAACTCTTCACGAATTATCTCCTGCATAGCCCTGTCCGTTACCTTGTCGACACTGCTGCTTACTTCATCAAGCAACAGCAATCCACCTTGCTTCTCACCCCCAGCGAGGCGATCGCGCACTCTACGACGAAGGATCGCTCGACCAAGGCTGAACAGCTGTTTTTGTCCAGCACTGAGGTCATCGGCGCTCATGCCAGCGTTCAAGCTGCCTTTGTCTTGGACAAAACCTGACAGCCGCACCGTGTTGAGAACGTTGAAGCATTCTGCGTCTGTGGCTGCCTTGTAAGGGTCGATGTTATCTTTGACAGAGCTGCCATCAGGGAGAAACACTGCGTCTTGGGGGATACAAATGACGCGCTTGCGCAAGGTAGCGCGGTCTATTTGGTGAAGGTATATGTCATCTATCTTCATGTTCGAATCACAAGAGGGGAGAGGATCGATGAGACGTAGGAAGAGAAGGATGAGCGTTGACTTTCCACTTCCTGTACGGCCGCAAATAGCGACTTTCTGGCCTGGTGAGATGTCCAACTCGAGATCACGTAGTGCCAAGCTGGAAGCAGCTTCGTCTTGCTCGTTACTTGGAGAGTCGTAAGAGGCGGAGACCTTGTGGACTTGTATGCTGCCGCTATGGGGCCAGGTCTCAGGGGGCTCGATAACTTCGCCAGGTTTATTCTCCGTCTCGACAGTTTCGCTGAAAGACCTTAATCGGCTAACAGCACCGAGTGATGTTTCAAGGGAAGTGTAGCTACTGATGAGGTTTGACAAGGCTTCGCTGAAGGTCAGAAGAGAGATCAGACTAGCACCAGTCAACCCCGCATTAGTTCGAAGCTGTGTTGCGAGAGCGACTAGAAGAACAGCTGTGCCGGTAACAATAAAGTGAAGCAATGTGGCGAGCCACTGTTGAATCATGGCGAGGAGATAGGCTGGACGCTGTGATGTATCGAGAAGTTTGTTGCTGTGGGCAATGTCATATTGTTGCCAGCCAAAGGCCCGAATAGTTGCAACGCCTTTGATGGTATCGGTGAAATGCGTGCTAAAATGAAGAGTCAGAACTTTGACCTTATTTCGTAGCTAACTATTACTTACTACAGTGGACTTTTAGCCTCAAGGTCGAGGAGTCGAATTTGTCGAGAGGTTCGCAGATAGAATTTCTGCACGAAGTACAGAATCCCCATCAAAAAGGGGTACCCAACTGCGAGATATGGTGATGCAGACGCTACAACAAAGGCCGTGCCACATGCGTTAGAGACGTCCAGGGAAAAGTTGGTCAGGGCCAGTGGTAAGTCGCTATCCAGGAGAGTCATATCCTGCGAGAACAAGTTCGTCACGATGCCGGTGTCAGTCTTTGAGAAGAACCTCAGCGGTGCAGAGATAACAGTAAGAATAGCACGTTCGTGCAATTCAGTACCTGCCGAAGCAGTAAAGAAAATCAATGTCATAACACCATCGCAGAACAAAAAGACCATATAGCTAGCTCGCAGCATACCATAAATACCTACGTAGAAGGCAAAGGATCTGTTAAAAGCGTCTTCAGCCCAGAATTTGACCCAGATGCTTGAAAGACTGTTGCAGACACCAGTCAACAAGCCTGCCACAGCGACGATGACAACTGGCCAGAAGCCAACGCTCTTGAAATAGTGCTTGTAGATGGAAAAGTCGCCTTGTTGTCGAGCCTTATCCTCCGCCGCTGGTACGTCCTGGGGGAGTATGGCAGGGGCGGTGGCGACAGTAGCTCTTGCCATGGGCTTTTCATCGTCTGAAGAAGAATCCGTGTCTCTGTGCTTGACGCCGAGGCTGTAAACATACTTCTTGTTCTCCATCAAGTCTGAGAAACCTCCCTCTTCGATGACTGTACCATTTCCAAGAGCAATGATATGGTCTGCCAGAGGTAGGTTCTTGACTGAATGTGTGCAGATGACCACAGTAACGTTGCGCCGACGCGTGATACCCCCTGGTCCAAATACGCGCCTGAAGAGCTCTGATTCAGTGTCCAAGTCTAAGCCACTCAAGATATCATCAAATATCATCAGATCTGCTTCAGAATATAGAGCACGGGCAACAGAAAGACGCTGCTTTTGACCACCACTCAACATGATCCCATTACTGCCAATCTTTGTATCATGGCCTTGCGGTAAAAGTGAAACGTCTGGTGCGAGCATCGTAGCTTCCACAATTTCGTCGTATTTAGCCTGATCGAAATCGCAATGGCCAACAATGTTTTCTCGGAAGCTCGCATTGTAAAGAAAAGGGGTTTGTTCACAGTAGCCAATGCGATGCGATGGTATGTACGTTCTGATGGTCCCTGAAGAAACAGGTAATTCTCCGAGTAAAGCCTTACAGAAAGTGGTTTTGCCAGACGCCACTTCGCCCACAACGATGGTGAGCTTATGAGCCGGAATAGAAGCGTTCATTTGACTAAGTGTCAATTTCTCGCCTCCCCATCCAAAGCAGCCGTTCTCAACAGTAAACGCTATGTCGTTTGACGGATTCGATGATCTTTTCTCGGAAACAGGAGCAGATTCATGGATTCGAAAGTCATTGCGCGGGTCTGCGGCGAGAAATCTTTGCACTCGAGCCATGCATGTCAGGGCAGCAAAGATACCTGGAAGGCTCTGGAAGAGACCGATGACGGGAGTAGTGAAGAGGAGTATGTATGATAGCGAGGTGAACAGTGTGTTCACAGTCAACTCTTTGGAAGTGAACGCAAAGGTGACGACTGGAGAGATGCAAATCGGGAAAAAGCCTAGCACAGCAGCGCTTATCAAAAGCCAGCGGAAGCTATTTCCAACCTTGATCTCTCCAACGCGGAGCGTCTGTATGAGATCTGCTACAGGTCCAGCGATGCCTGAGATTTTGTAGAGCTTCATCTGGGAGATGGCGTTGGCAGTCAATCCTACTCTGTTCTGGATCTTCGCCATCCACTCGCTCTGCCTCTTGCCAACAAACGTGACCAACCAGGACAGCAAAAGAGCGCAAACGGCGATCACGACAAGCGGAGACAGAAACGCTAGACCGATCTTCCCATGCAGAAGCCAGCAACCAACGGCTACTTCTATGGTGTTTGCCCAGAGATCATGAGCTTTCCAAGCACCGGTGATGATGCGTTCAACATCAGCGCTCATAAGCGTCAAAGCAGCAGAGTCATCAGCAGCCGTGATCTTCATCTGCGTTGTCTTTTGGTAGATCGCAGCGACTAGGCAGCCTCGAATCATATAGACGGCTTTTTCCAGGTAGTAACCGTAGAACGCCGAAGAAACCCCAATACCTGCGTAGATGAGGAACGCTGCGCCGATCAAGCCGTAGCCCATGTTTTTCGTCGATGGAGTCTCGGGCATCTGCAGATACTCGAGAGTAGCATCGATGAAGACGGGCTGGCAGAATTTGAAGGCAATGAGGGCGGCGCGAGGCGCAATTGGGAGGAGGAATGGGCTGATGAGCGTTCTAGCCAGGTCCTTCAGGAGTCCGGACTTGAGTTCTTGGTTGTACCTATGCAACCGAAGCCTTTTGACAAAGTGACTGTACAATTTGCTAGAAGCCATGTTTTCATCGAGGGGATACAGGTCGTCTATGGTCAAGACCCCTCGATACCCTCTCATGAAAAGCTGGTTCAACCAGGCGAAAGCACCAATACTGAATATGCCGCTCGACTCCTCTGGGCTATGCTCATCAGAATTCCAGTGGATCCATTTCGTTTTGGGAATCGTCTCAAGGCAGAGAATCGCTGCTTTGACGACGACAGACGCCGTGAACAAACGGGGCTGTGTGTCTTGTTGCAACGCGAGCCATGCTGTTCTTGTTTGCACGATGTCAAACAGGAGCGTAAGAAATATGTATACATTCAGCAAAGTCGACGGTCTTCGAGTACAAGAGTGCTCGAATGAGGATAAAAACACCGCCAACAATGCGGCGGCGGCTACAAGTGATGATCCAGCAAGAGAGAGGCCGTGAACAACGCCCGGTGCCCCAATCGCGGTAAGGATGAGAATCGCAAGTTGAATAATGGCATAAACAGCAAGAAATGCCTTTTTAGTCAGTATCAGCTTGGCATTCCTCTTGTTAAATACTCACAATCTTGATCGATTGAAGAATAATACCTCCAACTATCCTTTCGCGCTGCAATAAAATGGCTATACGGGCGACAGCTGCCGCGATGAACACCACAGTTGGTATAATTGAAAGGAAGATGCGTTCGAATTTCTGGGTGAAGTCGAAATCTCCCCGACATCCACGAACACCGGGTCCCCAAGAGCCATCATTCAGACAAGTCGAACTCATATTGCGTGACGTTGAAGAGGCAGATAAGAAGCGAAGTCGTTGCCTTTAATACATGTCGCTCACGTCAAAAGTTCCTGTTGGGCCTGTCAGACGGCAAAAGATTGGCCGATCGAGAGTGATAGCCACCATCATGAACAGCCAAAATTACGCGTTGCACACGCGGACAAAGACACCACAGCTCGAGTCATCTCATTGATAAGAACTGGTGAGCTTTTGACGCGTGGCCTTTAAATTGTACAAATTGACGTGATGTTAAAGTTGAAGCATTCGTAGGTGCCATTGAGTGGAATGACGACCACAGTTGTAGCAACCAAACCTCCTGCCATAATAGGAAAGAGCGCAGCTTCAGACCAAATTCCTCTTGACCTGAGATAGAACAATATCCTACCTTCGAGTAGTGAACTATCTATACTAAAGTATATAAAATAAGCATAAAGATTCTCTAAGACTCATCATAAGAATAACTAAGTTTATAAGAGATTGTCCTAAAGTCCGTGAAATCACCTTTATCTATTCCCGAACTACCATCTCTTGCCGCGCCTGCTTCTGAGATAGCACCGCCAGCTGAAATTAAAGAGGTTAACGGCGAACTTCTGCAGATGAATGCATTAACACCACGCATTCTGCAATAGGGGACGGTATCAAGATGACCAATCAAATGCCACCAAAGGTTCAGGCTCGGCCTGGACGCAACGATTCCTGATTCATAGGCTGAAGGTGAGGTGATGTTTTCACGAGCAAGCAAGCCCAAAGCATGTCCGAAGATTTCTCTGAGAATCACAAGCGAAAAACGTTATCGAAGTGAGGAGGGCATCAACCACTTGGCTGAAGGCGGGAACCGAGAACCAACAACTAGGAAGTCCCGTATATCGAATATTTCATCATCAAGATCCTAACATTATGTACAAAGGCTTACATCCGAGTTAAAATTACAGCAACTATTCTATAAAACTCTATAAATCATCTAAAATAACCTCATGACAAGGGAGGCGGACTAGGCGGAGTTCACTCGGCCGATGGCGGCGGACGAGGAACGGACTAGAAACGGAGACCGTCGAAAACCACAGTAAACCGGAGAAGACTGTCCCCTGAAACGCTGCTTACACGTGGGTCCCACTGGCCATCCCTGTTTAGATTGATTAGTGAATGGACAAGGGTCTGTTGCCATGTGAAGCTGAGATATCATATCATGAAAGTGTCAACGTGAACGTGAACGTGAATCTCCAAACGATCTTAGTAAGATGATCTCATCGCGGGGAGATTTGTCCGATCACTTACATCTGCTTCTTCTGATCGCAATATCAACAAAGAAATAATGTGTCACGCCGATGCATGTCTTATACCTTTTCTCTGGCCGATTTCTGTACTATTCCATCTTTGGGTATGAGTCGAAATGATCGTAAAATGTTGAATCAAAGCAGCCAGTCAGAATTGTATTCTCGGACTTAAGGGAACGTGCGGGTGACGAGATTTAACCGTTGCCCTTTTTTAGCATTTGACGTTTCCACTGTTTTCTCCACAGAGCGAGATTGGGTGGATATGATACCCGAGCTTTGGGTTTCAATGTTGCGTTGCAGCGATGAACTCAAAAGATTGACACGGCATTTGAGTCCGAATTTGTTTATGAGAGATAGAAACACAAGGATATCAGATCCAATATGCGACAGAATAGCTCTTTTTCCCATCCGTTCAGAGACCTCCACAACCCGAGATTTTCGGATATACGCAACAAATAATCGTAAGCAGAGTTAGTTAGTTCCCCGTCGGAGAATGTCCATCTTTTACCTTATTTCACTGAACCAATCAGACTTCTTCTCACCTCGGCCTTGGAGGAGCTTCTTAGCCGAGATGAGTCAAATCCTGCACATCTGCCCCACCGCCCTGACTTACTCGTCCACTTGACTCAGTGGAAGCTCCCTGTTGAAGCAATTCCCAGCTGGTGGAGCCGACGGCAACCCCTACCCCTACCGGCGGACATTTTAACGGACGCTTCGTATTGTTGATTGGTAATGCCGGATCAAATTGTTCCAAAGGAGATATAGACCCATTTTAACTTTTTTGCTGGACCTTTGTTGACTTATAGGGCGGGATGTCGGCATCTTTTTCCCATGCGCCCTCTTCTCTCCTGTTTGTTAACGGTGAGCCTGTGATCAAGACATTGGCTGCTGTATCATATACTTATAATCATCTTTATTCCTATAATTCTTTTAATTATTACGCCATTTCAACTGAGTTCATCTTAGTGAAGTACTCCTTTTCGCGACGGGTGACTTTGGGCTCCCAGTAAAACGACTTACACGCACGGCTCAACCGATATAAGTCACAATGGCGGAAAAAGACCTTGGAAGGGCTGAGGAGGCCATTGCTGCCAACCATCACACCGAGCAGGCTGATCCTGCTTATCGCAACTCTATCGATACCGATTCGACACGCCACGGGCCTGCTGAGCGCGACAACGGTGGTGTATCCATTGAGCAAGCCGAGGCTGAATTTGCGGAGCTTCAGAGAGAGTTCACTGGTGTCTCGAGAGCCAGTAGGAGGAAGAGCAGAGCTAGCGTTGGCGATCCGGAGAAGAATGCTCATGCTGACGACAATGAGGTTGAGTCCCTCTTTGATCTTGAGGCTGCTCTTCGCGGCGGTCTTGATCGCGAAAGGGAGGTTGGCATCAAATCCAAGCACATTGGTGTCTACTGGAATGACTTGACCGTCAAGGGCTATGGTGGCATGTCCAATTATGTGCCTACCTTCCCCGATGCCTTTGTCAACTTCTTCGATGTCATCACCCCTGTTATTCGCATGCTCGGTCTTGGCCCCAAGCCTGAGCAGGTCGCCCTTCTCGACAAGTTTAGGGGAGTCTGTAAACCCGGCGAGATGGTGCTTGTTCTAGGCAAACCCGGCTCAGGATGCACCACGTTCCTCAAGACCATTGCCAACCAGCGTTGGGGCTACACTGCAGTCGAGGGTGAGGTTCTGTACGGAAAGTGGACGAATACCGAATTCGACCAATACCGAGGTGAAGCTGTTTACTCTGCCGAAGACGATATTCATCACCCTACTCTCACTGTTGAGCAGACCCTGGGGTTTGCTCTGGATACGAAGATGCCCAAGTTGAGACCTGGAAACATGTCAAAGCAGGAGTTCAAGGAGAGTGTTATCACCACGCTGCTGAAGATGTTCAACATCGAACACACGCGCCACACCATCGTTGGTGACCATTTCGTCCGCGGAGTCAGTGGCGGCGAGAGAAAGCGAGTCAGTATTGCAGAGGCTATGATCTGCAGCGGTGCTGTCTTCTCATGGGATAATTCTACTCGTGGTCTTGACGCCAGTACTGCTCTCGATTTTGCCAAGTCCCTGCGAATTCAGACCAATCTGTACAAGACCACCACTTTCGTCTCCTTGTATCAGGCTTCCGAGAACATCTACAACCTTTTCGATAAGGTCATGGTTATCGATGGTGGTAAGGAGGTTTACTTCGGCCCCGCTGCCTCTGCCCGCAGCTATTTTGAGAGCCTCGGTTTCGCCCCTCGTCCCCGCCAGACCAGCGCCGACTACCTCACCGGCTGCACTGACGCCTTCGAGAGGGAGTACGCTCCGGGCCGCTCTGAGGAAAACGCTCCTCACAACCCTGAGACTCTGGAGGAGGCCTTCAAGAAATCCGATGCTTTCAAGTCCCTGGAAGCCGAGATGGCTGAGTATAAGGCTTCTCTCGCACACGAAGAGGACAAGCATAACGACTTCCAAATTGCCGTGAAGGAGGGAAAGCGTGGAACCTCCAAGCGTTCAGTCTACCAAGTTGGCTTCCATCTTCAGGTTTGGGCTCTCATGAAACGCCAGTTCACTCTCAAACTCCAGGACCGCTTCAACCTCTTCGTTGGATGGTTCCGCAGCATCGTTATCGCCATTGTCCTCGGTACCCTCTATCTCAATCTCGGCAAAACCTCTGCTAGTGCATTCAGCAAAGGAGGATTGCTCTTCGTCGCCCTGCTGTTCAACGCGTTCCAGGCCTTCAGTGAACTTGCATCAACTATGACCGGCAGAACGATTGTGAACAAGCACAAGGCTTATGCGTTCCACAGACCGTCAGCTTTATGGATTGCCCAGATCTTCGTCGACCAGGTTTTTGCTGCCTCGCAGATCTTGGTGTTCAGTATAATCGTTTACTTTATGACCAACTTGGTGCGGGACGCCGGTGCCTTCTTTACCTTCTATTTAATGATTCTGTCTGGCAATATCGCGATGACTCTATTCTTTAGAATCATTGGGTGTGTATCCCCGGGCTTTGATCAGGCTATTAAGTTCGCTGTTGTGGTAAGTTGATTTCGAATCTCCCATATATTGGCACTTACACGAGGCTATTCACAAGTGTGGCGCAAGCGCGCCACGACTTGGGAACTGATCGTGATTGGTGTGTGGCGCCACAGCGCCACAACACCAAGATCAACCATCACGGCGAGGCAGAACATACGAAACTAGAGGTCTGCGAATCGTTCAATTGCTAACCATATCCAGGTAATCACGCTGTTCGTCGTGACATCAGGCTACATCATACAGTACGAGCAGGAACAGGTTTGGCTCCGCTGGATCTTCTGGATCAATCCCCTGGGATTGAGCTTCTCTGGAATGATGATGAACGAATTTCAAGGATTAGACATGACCTGTACGGCAGACAGTCTCATCCCCGCTGGTCCCCAATACACCGACATCGACTACCAAGTCTGCACGCTTCCTGGCTCAAAATCCGGCACCACCCTCGTCTCTGGCAGTGATTACGTTGCTCAGGGCTTCTCCTACCACCCAGGAGACCTTTGGAGGAACTGGGGCATTGTCATGGCTCTTATCATCTTCTTCCTGATCCTCAACGTCGTTCTCGGAGAATTTGTTAACTTTGGCATGGGAGGAAACGCTGCAAAGGTCTATGCTAAGCCCAACAAGGAGAGAAAGACTTTGAATGAGAAACTGGCGGCTAAGAAGGATGCTCGAACAAAGGATAAGTCCAACGAAGAAGGATCCGAAATCACCATCAAGTCTGAGAGGGTACTCACTTGGGAAAATCTCAACTATGACGTGCCCGTGCCAGGAGGAGAACGCCGTCTTCTTAACAACGTTTTCGGCTATGTTCGTCCTGGTGAGCTTACAGCTCTGATGGGTGCCTCCGGCGCTGGAAAGACCACTCTTCTAGATGTCCTCGCAGCTCGCAAGAACATTGGTGTTATCTCCGGAGATATCCTCATCGATGCCATGAAGCCAGGCAAAACCTTCCAACGATCGACGTCATATGCCGAGCAACTCGATGTTCACGAGCCTACTCAGACCGTCCGCGAGGCCTTCCGTTTCTCTGCCGAACTCCGCCAACCTTTCCACGTGCCTATGGAGGAGCGCTATGCCTATGTCGAAGAGATCATCTCCCTTCTCGAGATGGAGTCCATCGCCGATGCTATCATTGGAACTCCTGAATTTGGTCTTACTGTCGAACAGCGAAAGCGCGTCACAATTGGTGTCGAACTTGCTGCCAAGCCCGAACTGATGCTTTTCCTTGATGAGCCTACTTCCGGTCTCGACAGTCAGAGTGCCTTCAACATCGTCCGCTTCCTCAAGAAGCTCGCTGCTTCAGGCCAGGCTATTCTGTGCACTATCCATCAACCCAACGCCGCTTTGTTCGAGAATTTCGACCGCCTTCTTCTCCTTCAGCGTGGTGGTCGCACTGTTTACTTCGGCGATATTGGCAAAGATGCTCACGTTCTGCGAAGCTACCTCAAGAGCCACGGTGCTGAAGCCGGTCCCACGGATAACGTTGCCGAGTACATGCTTGAAGCCATTGGTGCCGGAAGCGCTCCTCGTGTTGGAGACCGTGACTGGGCCGATATCTGGGAGGACAGTGCCGAGTTTGCTGATGTTAAGGAGACCATCATTCGTCTGAAGCGTGAGCGTCAGGCTGCTGGTGCCGCGGTCACAGTCAACGATCCTGAGTTGGAGAAGGAATATGCTTCTCCTTTCAAGCATCAGATGATGGTTGTGTGCAAGCGCATGTTCTTGTCTTTCTGGCGTTCCCCCGACTACATTTTCACTCGAATCTTCAGCCACGTCGCTGTCGCCCTTAGTAAGTTTTTGCCCTAAAACTATCCTAAATTACCCCCAAATTATACGACTTTAGCTAACCGCTTCCAAGTCACTGGTCTAATGTACTTGAACCTTGACAACTCCCGTTCGTCGCTGCAGAACCGAGTCTTCATCATGTTCCAGGTCACAGTTCTGCCCGCTCTCATCATCACACAAGTCGAAGTCATGTTCCACATCAAGAGAGCTCTCTTCTTCAGAGAGCAGTCTTCCAAGATGTACTCGCCCTTCGTCTTTAGCTCTTCAGTTGTACTTGCTGAACTCCCCTACTCGATCATGTGTGCGGTAGCTTTCTGTAAGTTCTCACCACCCCTCAACACTCCAATTGAACTGGTACTCACACGTTCCAGATCTCCCAATCTATTTTATGCCCGGGTTTCAAACCGAGCCTTCCCGGGCTGGTTTCCAGTTCTTCATTATCTTGATCACTGAGCTCTTCTCGGTAACCCTTGGTCAAGCACTCGCATCGATCACCCCCTCGCCCTTCATTTCAGCACAATTTGATCCGTTTATCATTATCAACTTCGCCTTGTTCTGTGGTGTCACGATCCCCAAGCCTCAAATCCCGGGTTTCTGGCGTGCTTGGATGTACCAGTTGGATCCTTTCACCCGTCTGATCAGTTCAATGGTCACAACAGCCCTCCACGGAGTTGAGGTTGTCTGCAAGCAAAACGAACTCAACCGTTTCAGTGCACCTCCAAACAGTACTTGTGGAGAATACATGGAACCTTTCTTTGCAAATGGTGGTCGTGGCTATCTCGTTAATGACGATACAAGGGAATGCGCGTATTGCGCGTACAAGGTGGGCGACGAGTTTTACAGTACATTTGATCTCTCTTTCAACAATCGTTGGAGAGATTTGGGTATCTTTGCTTGCTTCATAGCAAGTAACTTAATTATCATTGTCTTGGCGGTAAGTAACCTCACTTGAGCACCATCATTGAGAGCGATTTGCTAACTTTTATTTCAGAGCCGCTTCCTCAACTTCAACCGACGTTAAAGAGTAAAGAAGTTTATTATAGATGATGCCATGGGTTTTGGAGGATGTGTGACGGGTACGATTAAAAGTTGACCATAGACTATACATAGAGAGGAACACCAGTTACCTCATTTAATACATAACTTGACCCTCAAATTAGACTTTCTCATACTAAATCTTTACCTAAACTTCTAAGAGATTTATTAACATTATGCCCATGAATGTAAATTTAGACTACTTTAGGTTCCATGTCTTATGAACGTTGGATCAGACGATATATGAGTTGAATGGGATTGATGAGATGATAACGGCGGAGCATCGTGAAGCTGACAAACCTGTTGTTTATGAGCGTAGTAGTTATCTTCTCACAATCTTACGCGCTTTCACCATGTCATCGTCATTGAGTAACCAATTTGTTCCTTTCCCAGGCGAGTCATACCCTGATACCTCCTCATCCCACTCCTCATCGTTCATGTTCGCAACTGTAAGAATCTCTTTCAATTGAGCAAATGGCTCGTGAAGGGCATAGTCGCGTCGGGCGACGGTACTTATGATACCAGAGAAGTCCGACTCCAACCGCAATCCACCAAGTGCAGTCATACGGCCGGAGTAACTCCACGCACGTTTCTCCAACACCCTTGCCAGCTTGTTGGCTGCTAGGCTGGTCAATGCTGCGTATGTTCTCGGCGTCATGGTGTGCTTCAGTGGCCGTGTCAAGGCCAACCACCCGCCTTCGAATCGGACCGAGACTCGCGATATTGTCTCTCCATCGACGTCCTCTTCATCCAAGGAATCCCCTTCCGACACATCGTAAACTGCGTCTTGGAAAGAGTTTGTGAGGATTAGCCTGATTCGAGGCCACAGCACCTCATCAAAGACTGCCCGGATGCCATCGTTCAGAAGCTCTGTAGCTTTAGCAGATAGCGCGCCATTCAGACTCTGAAGTCCATTCGCAACCAGCTCGGCGTCCTTGCCAAATGGGAAGGATTCTTTGAGACTTGATGAAGATGGGCCAGTCAGATCGACGCCTTGTGTTTCCGAGAAGTAACCTCTGGAGCTTATAATACGATCCAGGTACTCCTTCGCCATGTCGAGAGTGTTCATCAGAACCACGAAACTGATAATTTTGTCCTCTGATGGAAACCCACCCTGGATCAGTGGTTTGGGATAGCACTCGTCTCTCATGCGCCTGTGGATGATCCCGATTAAATCCGATTCGAGGACCCTGCTGATAGCCAAAGTGACAGAGACGGTCACCTCTCTGTTTCCCGTAGACAGCATATGCTGCAGTAGATTGTCCAAGACATACATTATATCATCTACAGCTTGCAGAATGAACGGCGGACTACCCTCGTACGGCTTCGATAGTGAGAGGCCACTTGGTGCGGTATCCATCTCAAAAGCCTTTTCCACTGATCTTCGAAAGAGAAATGTTGCCGTAAGTTTGCATGGCTCGATGAGTTTCTCTGAGATCTTATTATGGACATTGCATTGATAGAGGAACTTTGGAAGCGATAGCTTTTCTTCTTGGGCCAGGCCAACCTAATAATGATGGTCAGTAAGGGATAGCATGTATAGAGTTACTGCTTACCTTGCATTGAAGTGAGATGAATCGCTTATAAAACGACCAACTCTTTAGCATTGTTGTCATTTCTCCAAAGAGCCCCTCAACCTTCTTCACTTCGAAGTTAAGTTCGTCTTTGTTCAGCTCGTTGCCTCTTAATGTAAAACTGATGCCTCTCTGAACCGGCATCATGCTTTTCGAGAGGAAAGAGAAAGGATAACTCTTAACATCGGCCATCATCCTGGTAACCGTCCGTTCGTCGTTCCACAAATCCAAGATAATTCCGCCCTGGATGTCAGCCTCTTTTTGAAGTCTTTCAATGACCTTCACTACTTTATCAGCGCCGTAGTGCCTCTCTACCAGGCCACTGTGGCTGTTAATGATCTGCACAATGTGCTCAAACAGCCATGTTAGGTTATCTGCGTAAAACAAATCGTTCTGTCTGCCACGATCCTGGCGCACTTTGAGAGCTTCCGCCATGCCTTGGCAGATATACCGCCCGTAAGCATCCAGCCCGGTGTCTTCCTCGCCAATAATTGGGAAAAGTTTGAAGAGTCGTGCGACCTTGGCTCCATCCCCTTGTTTCGTTGCAGCGTTGAATTCCCTCAAGAACAGAACACAAAGGCTTTTGCGAGCAGTCTGGATTGTAGTCCATGGGGGATTTGGAGCCTCAATGCTCGGTACAACAGCTAGAGCGAAGTCCCCACGAGTAACTTCCTCAGGTATATTCGATGCGCGCGTGAGATAGTCGGCGGCAGCCTCCCAATCCTGGGGGGCACCCATGCTGCCTATAAGACCAGCTATACACGCCTTGAGCTCTATAAGTTGCTCAATAAAAATCAGCGTAGCCTCTACCCTTCTCTTCTCCATATCTAAAGCGCGAATCATGGTAGATAGTCGCTCAGCGGTGTCGCCCGCGGTAGATAGCATTGCATTGTGGATGCTTCGAGCTGTGATGAGCTGCATATCTAGGTCTCCATGGAGACTATCTAGACCGCCAAGATCTCGATGTAAATCTTTACTGTCCTTCATTGGGGCATCAAGCTTGTCGATGAGAGCATCCTCCCGCTCGTGGAGCAGGCCCAACACATCTCTGAGCTCGGCCTCCGACGAGACAGCCATCAGGTTATTGATCTTGGCCATTGTATAGGGGCAAATGCTGTACTCAGGTTACCAGACAGGCAGCGGAAGACCTCGACTAAGCTGAAGTTTCTGAGATGCTGGTGGTAGAAAATGACATGTATAGCTAAGTATCGGTAAACTAAATGTAAATTAACAAAGCTCATGCAACCATGTTGGCTGCAGCTTGAATGAAACGTATACATCACGTGATGACCTTTATGTTGTTGAACAGAATAGGGAAACATTATCACAAACAAGAACGAAATCTTTGAATTCCAACATTCCACGACGTCTGAGAGCGCTTCGAAATGCTGATTGAATAGCTTGTTAGCCGACGCTTGAGTCGACGTTGGCATGATCTAAGCTATGGCCCGAGTAAAGCGTGGAGAGAGATATCCTAAACTATGCCGAGAAACAGAGTAGAGAACTCGAATTTATACTAATTTTATCATAAGAAACCCTAAATTAATACAAGATCATCATGTTTTTACTTGCCTGAAATCTTCGTCAAGGTGTTCAAAGCCAAGAGCCCTTCTAGCGGCCAATCAACTCATATGTGTAGTATCTAAGGTTACAAAGGCCCCAGAAGATGGTCTCGAGCATTCTCAGCCACGAGTTCGACCTTACCTTCAATTGAAGCAACAATTCATACACTGTTTTTGGATGCATTAGCCACATGTTCTCGAAGATTGGCGAGCTATTATAACACACAGAGCCCATCAAGATAACAAGTGCTTCCTTGGAAGGCATAAGCTGAGGACTGAGGTGCTGATTTAGGAGAGGAAGGTCGATACAGGTCCGTCTCTTCGTCCGGTAGGACCATGCCGGGCTGAATTAACAGCTTATCCATCTATTCCAGGAGCTCTCGCCAATTTCAGACAACAACCTCATATTGCATTCGATACTCGCTTTCTGTAGAGTACAAGCACTACCATTAACAGCGCGAGATAATTCGAGCAAAGTGGTGTTGAAAGTGGCAGACAAACTGGAGACAATGACTGGCATATTAGATACAGGAGGGTGGAACAACCATCACCGCACCGTCCTCTTACTCACGACCCAGCGAGGATTTGCGGTCACTTCAATCGGGAGGAAAACTACAAAGGAGGACGTTCGAGACTAGCTCGTGCCTGAGGCAACGCAATCGCGGCTTCACCATGTCCCTACATAAGTAGAATGATTCCACTTCAATCTCAGACGGACTCTGAGGCTACTCAGGACTTCCTAGACCTTCCTCGAGCGATGGAAATTCACCCCTCGCTGTGGCTAATTCACTCATGACTCTCCCCTCAGCACGTTCAGTCCTAATATGCCCTCACATTGGTCGGCCCAGGAGCTGGTCGAAAGCGTCTCGAAGGTCATCCAACCTCATCCATCACCGATATCCAGCAGCTCATTCATCGACTGCGAAACATATCACTAGCATACCAACCTCCTTTTAGACAAAGGCGTGTCGATATCACGGATACTCGCCCGTTCTTCCGTCCCATTTGCTGACATCGTCACCATTCATAAGCACCGTGAATGACACTACACAAGGCTGTGCCTTTTACCCCGCGGTTTTGTATTGGTTCTTGACATGTGAAGTGCTTGCCTCGCGCGAGATATTGCCTGGCGCGACACGATTCGCGTATGAGGATCTAGAATATCGCGTCTGCGTCATCGTGAGCTCCCTCTTGCGCGCTGCTGCCTATCACATATCCTGGCATTTGTAGGACTCTGCTCAAATGGCTTGCACCCAGACGAAAGGTACGGCATTTGATTCGATGGCCGTTTTGACATATCGGTGTGGCTGTGTCAGGGGTTTTGGTGATGTGCTGGCCAACTTTTCAAGTTCACGAGTGTTTGCGATAAAGTGTGACTCATTTGTGTCGGCTTGTCCTAGTAATTATCAGTCCTTGAGAAAAGAATGATGGTTGATTTGTTGGGGATTTTGTCAGGCCATGTTGAACGGGTGGGCGAAAGATGCCCAATCGCCAAAGAAGCATGGAAATGTGGTGGCAGGGAAATGTTGCTGAAATGACAGGATGGGTCTGATTTAGGCAGCAGGGGACATGGTCATTCTTATCAGTCACAGACGAGCAACAATTGTCATTCAAATGGTTCACTTTGAAATTGATATCTTGCTACGTCACTTATTAATTAGACTCAAAACTGTCACGTCAGCCCGATGAGATGGAGATGGAGATGGGGCCGCATGCGGGACCCAGAAAATCGGGAACCACGGGGTCTCCTGCAGCATCACATGCTCCCGCTGCCGCTGCCGCTGCCGTTGCCGTGCGCGGACCCAAACCAAACCAAACCCGAATCGGACCCCCGGTGGCGGACCCGGCCGAGTGGTTGTGGCTGGACCTCCAAAAAGCACAGCCACATTCCACGTGGCTAGAGTCATGGAGGGGTGGTTTCAACAAAAAATCATTCACTACATTTTGAGGCCTGCTGTTTAGGTTACTATTCTCATGGGCAAATGATCTGTAAGCGCTGAGGTGGTAATAGACTTGGCAGCAGACCACCTCTTCACATGCCATTCTCAGGTATCATGATGAATATCACGAACTAATAGACCTTATCACGACTTTCTCACTCATTACTCTGCTCGCCCTGTTATTTCGATTTGCGAATATTCATTCTGTGGTCTAGGGTTGGTTACCTACTGCAACCGTGCAGCATCGCATAAGAACACCAGGGCTTCATGCCGACCCCCTTGCTCTCCTCTTCCCATGCCCTAATCTCGCCATTGGTAGCCTATGCTTTTCCAAAACTGAGATGTGATGTGACGTGTGAAAGAGCGGGAACATGTCGTTCTGGTTCCCGAGCTGCAGATTGTGCTAATGCATCCATTGGTCGGATCTCATTTGTTCTACGGCCGGACCCGAAGCAGCATCCCTCGAGGCATGGACAACGCAGACAACACCACCTTTCAGAACCGCTGGGCATGAACGCGCCTGAGCCTTGAACTGGAGGGGCTCACCTCACATATGACTCTTCTCTTCCCCCTCTGCTGTTCTTCTTGTCCACGGGACTACCAGGATGGCTTCTATTTCGTCACCGACAACAGGAAAGAAAAATTTAGCTATCATACTCCATCGTGATGCAGCACAGCAGGTTGTCGCTCCAACAGAAGACATGTCAAAGGACCCTCTTTTAAATATGCAATGCATGCAGCTGCGTGTCTTTGCCCTAATGGTCTCGCAGCACACCTTAAGCGCTCTCATGCATTTCGAGATGAGAATTTTCCAGTGCGAAAAAGAAAAAAAAGCAATATTGAATCATAGTGATCGCCCTTGTCAACCAAGTGGAGGACGCTATAGCGGGCACTGCATTCTAGTTCCGCGATCTTTAAAACGGCGGTGTTGCTGCGGTGTGCTTTGATCGTCGGCGCTTGATCTTGTCTTGTATTAGTGGAAGGGTTACATCTGCAACGGCTTGAAGTTTAGTCAAAATGTCATGTATATGTAAATGTATGTATATATCTTGAGCATTAGAAACACTAGAGAAGCAACTTAACTGCACGCCATGATACTGGCAACGTGCAGATTTCCTACCGTAGTACACACATTTTCTCTCTGAGCTTCATCAACAACGTTTCACTGAGAGCCGCGATGGATCTGTGGGATCCTGCATACGTCACTATGCGGCCAGCTTCTGGTCCCTGTATACCTTCAGCCTTGGCCGTTTTGCGTCCACGTCGTGACCTAGGTCTCGGGGAGCTGTAGGCGAGGGGTCCGTCTTTTTTCGAGTCCTGTCCTTCAAGCGCTGTGTTTCTCTGATAGCGGCCCGTCTTTGCAAAAGGGCCCCGCGATGGTGCATCCCCATCAACGGTACGCACCCGAGCAACGGGCACCGTCTTTTGCAAGAGTCGGTGAGGAAGAAAAAAAAAGATAAAAAAAACCGCCTTGTTGTTATAGCGTCCGCAGTAGGTTGGCTAGACTGTTGGAGGGGGAGGGGAAACCTGGAAAACTTGTTGCCAAGGACCATTGATTTTTTCGAGTTTATTTTTGGAGGGGCTTTGGCTTTGTTGTTTGGATATCGTCGCTTGATACAGCGAATAGAGGAGAGCTGTTGTGTAAGGGTAAGTCGAAAAGCACCAACCAGTCTGTCAAAAGACCCAGGGTTCTGCAGACGCATATCCGCATGCAAAAGTCCTGATCAAAGAAGAGCTTTCTGTTCTATTGTCCCCTCCATCACTTACACGCCGGGGGTAGTACCCTCTCCCGCCTCCCCTCTATCGTGAAGCTTGATTGATGGTGGTGCACACAGCAACGTGTCTGTGTATGTCTGCGTCTGCTAGACAAGGCAGTGCGTGTGATGGATGCCAATCGGCTTCTAACTTGGGGTGCATCGCGGGACCGATATGACGGGGCCGCGGGTTTGTTTGGACATCAACACAGCTAACCAGAGGGTATATGCATCGAGCTGCAGACACTGTCAGCGCCAGCATCAAGGGAAGGATAGCTATGAGTCACCGACTCATCCACTCGGAGGGCCATCGAGAACAGTATCGGTCAGAGGAACATCATAGCAATAACAACCGAGAGCGCCGAATATCGAGCTATGCGATGGATCAGTGATTTCAAAGTGCGGCAAAGCTTTCAGATAGAGAGCAAGGCTGTCAAGACTCCATCAATAAAGGAAGGCATCTCGCGAAGAAAATTTATCCTTGAAGTAAGAAAAAGGCAAAATATTCATGTTCGACAAGGGTGATCGAGGATTGCATGGAACAAGGATGGCCATGGGGATTGGTAGTCTACCTCAATGGCCAACAACAACAAGGCCGACGACATTATACGCCACGAGGGCGTGTGCATCTAGATGTTGGACATACATATCCATATCCATACATCCGTCAGAAGACATCGAGAAAAAGATGCAATTGTGATGCTCTTTGAAACAATAGCTGAAGACCAAAACACCGTACCAAGACATACTCCAAACCTTCTGACCAGAGACAAATTGTTGATGCCCAAAAATGTCCATCGCAATATTCTTCTTCTCTGTTGCTCTGTCAAAGCCGAAACCATGTTTATCCGTATTCTGAGATAAACACAACAGACAGTCCTAGATAATTTAAAACCTGGACTCGGCTGTGTACCACATGCCGACAGGGAAACTCGCAATGACAAGGGCAAGGCTTCTCTTATTATTAGCGTATGAAACATGGTGCCCAGCAGCCAGCACAGGATAGCGTTGGGCCGCGATTTTTTTTTTTAAA